ATAATGAAGGGCCTCCCTGGTGGTGCAAGCGGTTAAGACGCAGCACTGTGAAGCTATCCGCAGCCACTCCAGCACGAGTTTGATCCCCAGTCAGGGAGCTACCCACATGGCACAGCAGACCTCTCCTGACTTGCCCGCTGCACTCCTCAGCAGTGTATTTCAGTAGATCTGCCTGTTCTGTTCCCTACTCTACGAACCCGCTCACTGCCCCCACGCCTCTGGCCTGTACCCCAGTTCTTGCATGTATAAATAAATCTTTTTTTAAAAAAGGATTATAATGGAGTAGAAATGAAAATGCATGGTAAATACATATACATATACATAGATATTTACATATATATAATTTTTTGACCAAGACAATAAGCAAAAAATATTAAGCTCTCTAATTAAACTTGCTCTAACAGAGCCCTAGGTGATATCTCTGAATTTGAATCTCCTTCCTTCTTCCCAGTATCTGCCTGGCTTATGGGCAGGGTGCAACTGCTAATAAAATGAGGTTGCCTCCATTAACTCAACCTACAGAAAAGCCATTTAACAATCAAATTCATAAGCAGGGTTCCTTTATGAGGAAGTACACAAACATTGATCAATTTTAGTCTAGTCACAACCTGAAAGAGTGTATAAATGTACATTTTCAGAGAGCCAAAGTGTGTTCTTAAGAAAGTGAAAATATAAGCACATCTAAGACGCAAAGTACTGTTTAGCTGATTTTCAATTAAGATACCAAGTCAATCTAATGGACAAAGGAAAGTTGATTTTTTAAACCTATGTTGCTGGAGCAACTAGATTATCTGTACGGTGGAAAAATAAACCCACACCCCGACCTCCTATCACTGCACAAAACTTTGAGAAAGATCACAGATCTAAGTGTAAAACTCAGAACAAGAAAGTTTCTAGAAGAAACAGAATATATTTGCAATCCAGGGGACTAGCAAAGATTCCTAAGACAAAACACGAAAAATACAAACCATAAAATAAAAAAATTGAGAAAATTAACTTCATAGAAATTAAGAATTTCTGCTCATCACAACATCATTGAGAAATAAAAGGACAAACAACAAACTGGTTAAAAATATTGCCAACACATATATCTGACAAAAGACTTACACTCAGAATATATAAAGAATGCCTTCAAATAACAGGTGAACCACTCAATGAAAAAAACAGGCAAAGACTTAAATACTTCACAAAAGAAAATACAATATGACAATTAGCACATGACAAAGCATTCAACACCCTTCATCATCAGGAAAATGCTAATTAAAATCATGAGGTACCACTTTACATCCTCTATTGTGGCTAATGTAAAAAAGGTCTACAGTACTAAAAATTGGAGACATTAAAAATATTGAACTTGGGGCCACCCTGGTGGCGCAAGGGGTTAAGCACTGCGCTATGAAGCAATCCACAGCCTCTGCAGCACTCTGATCCCCTGCGGGCCAGGCCAGGCAGCAAACCACATGGCGAGCAGACCTCTCCTGGCTCGACCTGCTCCCCTCAGCAGTGTATTTCAGTCAGTCTGCCTGTTCTGCAACCCGCTCTGTCTCTGGTGAATCCTCTTACCCCCTGACCCCGCGTCTCTGGCCTGTACCTGAGCTCTTGTATGCATAAATAAATAAATGTTAAAAAAAAAAAACTCAGTATGTACACAAGTTGGGAGAAAGAGCTCAATCTAGACATTTAGGGACAGTTTTATATAACATTTGTGTCACACATTAAATAGCTATCAAAGACTAATAGGGCTATGTCAGAAGTAACATAAGTGAATATGAAGGGATACGTATGTGTCAAAATGGGACAACTTGAGCATCAAAAAATAAACAACCTGTTAAAATGCACTGATAAAAAAAATTAACAATTTAAAAAAACAAGAGTTCATAAAAATACTGTCAGTCTGCCTATTCTGCTCCCCACTCTGTCTCTGGTGAATGCTCTCACCCCCCATATCTCTGGCATGTACCCCAGCTCTTGTATGCATAAATAAATAAAACTTTAAAAAAAAAGTTGAACTTGAATTCATATACAAACCACTTAGGGCAACTGTCAATTTTTTAGTAAAGATAAACATATTTAGTCTGTGATTCAGTAATTCCACTCCTAGGTATTTATCAAGAAAAATGAAAACACATATCCACAAGTGATTTGTAAAAGAATGTTCCCAACATTATTATTCACAATAGAGGAAACCTGGAAATAACCCAAATTTCCATCAAGAGGAAAACAGATACACAAATTGGGGTTATATATTCATACAATGGAATACCATTCGGTAATAAAACAGAACAAACCATTAATACACAAAACGACACAGATGAATTTAAAGAAAACATTATGTCACATGAAAGAGCCAGGCACAAAAAAGCACATACTGCTGCATGACTCCATTTATGCAAAGTCCAAGATTAGGCAAAACAAATCCATGGTGTCAGAAGTATGACTATGAGAGTGCCTGCCTCTGAAGGAAGGTTTCTAAGAGAAATGGCTAGAAAGGGGCGTGAGGAAGTATCTCTGGTGATAAAAATGCTGTCCTATTTTGGTAGGCGTTACAGAGTACAAAGTTGTCAGAACTCCTGGCACTGGAAAATTTAGACTTGAATTTTATTGGATGTTAACTTACTGATTGTTATTGTATCAATAAAAAGATACAAAATATCACTGCTTCAAGATATAGGTTAATGATTTTGGTTTAAATGAAATTCTAGAATACCTCATCAGCATTTTTGATTATCTGGCACTTTCAATTATCACACCTCTAGTCTTTCATCACTGTGTATAACCTAATGGATTATAGACACATACAGGTAGATAGGTGTAAATAGTTGAAGGTGGAAGAGGAGAGAGAAAAAAGGTGAGAGGATCCAGCAAGAGAAAGGAGAAGGGAAGGAAGGTAAGAGAAGGGGAAAAAAAAAACCTTGAGAAAGAATTATTAGAGAAAGTAGGATTTTTTTTTTTTTTAAAGAAAAAGCCAGCACTATGAATCTACTATCACAGCTATCAATAATGATCTTTACCCTGTTACTACATACAACTTAAAACATCTCCCAACCCTTTATATTCTAAGTGTGGCCTCCATCAGCAACTATCAGGAATGCAGATTCTAGGGCCCCACTTCAAACCCACAAGATCTTGGGAAATTTATGATGTTAAAAATTTAAGAAACACCACCCTACATCATTCAAATTCCTTCTGTTGTACTGAAGTTATATTTTATTTACATGGGCCAGTACCTGGGACTTAAAAATTCTTTGATTAGAGTGAAGTTGATCACTGTAATGACTTTTGACCTGTAGGTATTTAACTCTAGGTGAAATTATTAGTTCCATAGCGATCTGACCTCAAGGGTATAGTACAAAACCTTGGAATTAGTCATAAAAATATGTAATTAAAGGAAACTGAGCAACAAATTAGTTAACACCCTCAAGAACTCATTTTTGTTTCTTAATGCCTAGCACAAAGCATGGAATGACACATATGGCTAACCAATGTTTCCTGAAAGAATAAACGAACTTTTGAAAATCAGAAATATTTAGGACTAGAATAATCTTGGGGTCATTTGGTCCAACAACCTCATTTTAAAGATGAATACAATATTAACAAGGATGTAAAACAATAGTACTTCATTTAAAAAAAGAAGAAAAGAAAAAATATGAGCAGCAGTCCTGCCTGCCTGTGCCTATGAAGGCCTCTCTTTTAGCAAACCTGTCCCTTTCCAGGGTAGCTCTTTCTGCCCACTTGTGTCTATGCAAGTGTCCTTTATTCTTCTCTCCCTTTTTATAATAAGCTTGCCTTTTTGGATATTAAAAAAAAAATAAAGATGAGCAAGCTAAAAATACTGAGGTTCAAAAGTAAGCAGGCTAAAAGAGTTATTACATATTGTTCTCATATTTTAATTCCTTTTTTGTTATTTTGCAGGAATGTGTTAGGAAGGGTATTCTAAGTGCTACAATAAAATGATTGTGAGCTTTTAGGGAAGTAGAAGGGCAAAAAAGCGCCAAGGATTAGGAAGAAGAGAGTAGCAAAGGTAAGTGAGGTTAGACAAAATTGCTTCTAAACCTAACATTTTTGACAGGTCAATTAATTTAATCTGCAGAAAAACTAATCTGAAGGATTCTCAAAAAAGAAACATGAGCTGCACGAAAATGTTACAAACCCAGGGAGACCGCACATTAACTAACTTAAATCTCCACAGGCTTATTTCCTGTTCAAATATGATCTCCTGGGATAAGTTTTACTGCAGTGTACTTTACCAGATGACTTTTGGTTTTAAGAGCAGCCAAGGGCTAGTAGGAAACGCGATTCTTAACATTTAAAATAGAAAAAAAAAAAACCACCCTGCGGCTGTTTCCCCTTTGTTTGTAATCAGAATGCAGGCTTGCAGAGGAAACACACCAACGCAAAAATATTACGACCCAGTCACGTCCTCAAAACCAACCAACACACTCTCTCTCCAGCCGGATCCAGCTGTGCTGCAGGGAGCCAGGAATTCATTCTAAGAGCAGAGATCAAGACGAGGAGTGCACAAGCCAGATTTCAACTTTAAAAAAAAAAAAAAAAGGGTGTGCCCTAAGGTTTTGCATTTCTTCCCAACTTTCAACTAGCAAAAGCCACTGAAAAAGTGGTGCAGGTGAGAAGCACCTTCCTGGAGGACGGTCTCCCGGGCTACCCCGGGAAGGAGGGCGGCCCAGGGAGCTCGCACCGCGGGCGCGGGCTCGGGCGAGAAGGGGCCGGTCCCGAACCCGGAGGCCGGGCACGGGGTGATTCATCCCCGAGCCCGGGTTCGCGCGCCTCCATAGCGGGCGACGCCCAGGCGCCCCCACAGCCCCCCCGGCCGGGACCGCTCGCCCCGAGGCAGCTCCCGCGCCCTCCCCGCCCCGAGGGGGAAGGAGACCACCGCGGGCGGCTGGGAAGGCGGAGAGCCGCTCCCTCGCCAGCCACCATGTCCGGCGCGGCTCCTGCCCGCGCCCGCACACGGACTTCCTGGACAGCGCCGGGGGACTCACCTGACTGGCGCACGCCGGTGCCGCCGACGTCCTGCACAGACCCGCGAGGACGGTTTGCTCCTCGGTTCCCAGCGCTCGTCCGTCCGCCGGCGTCCGCCTCCCAGGGAGTTGCCCGGTCCGCCCGCCTGTAGCTCCCCCAGCGCGACCGAGCTGTGGGTGCCGCTGGTTCCCCCTCCGTCGCTGACGCATGTGCGCACGCCCAGGGCGCGGGGAAGCCTGGGAGTTGTAGTTCCAGTCAGGAAAGCGCGTCTCCGCGCGGGTTCGGGGCTTTGAAGAGGCTGCGGCTGGCTGCACAGCCTTCCTCTAGCTTGAGAAAATGCTCTTTACTCGTGATCTCTTTCGACTCTGGGAATTCTAAATAGCAGCTAGAGGCTCTTTGGCTTCGATTTCTTCTTTACTTTGATTTTTAGTAAAGAGGCACACAAGGCGGGGTTTGTGTTGTACCCTTGGTAGTGAACACGAGGACAATCATTTAAACTTGTGCAAAACTAGGAGAAAAGGAAACAGGGCCTCCCTGGTGGTGAAAGGGTTAAGATGCAACCTATGAAGCTGTCTGCAGCCACTGCATCACCAGTTAGATCCCAGGCCAGGGAGCTACCCACATGGTGCAGCAGACCTCTCCTGACTCACCCGCTGCTCCCCTCAGTAGTGTACTTTGGTCAGTCTGCCTGTTCTGTTCCCTACTCTGTCTCTGGTGAATCCTCTCACCACCCCTCCTCAGACCTCTGGCCTGTACTCCAGGTCTTGTATGCATAAATAAATAAATCTTTAAAAGAAAAAAAGAAATGTAAACAAAAACTAAGGCACAAAAAGGGAATAAAACTGGCAGATGTCACCTCAAGGGTGTAATGACCCTAGAGATTTTCTTAGGTAGGAAACCAGGGATGATATCAGTGACCGTTGCCCTTGCAGTTTTGACCTCTTGCCATCCTCCTTTTCCCTGTCAAGCGCTATGTCAAGGCTGTGGCACCAGGTTAATGGTGGGAGAAAAAAACAGAAGCGCTGCTCCAAGGACTGACTGGGCATGCAGGTAGTCTGGAGGGTAAGACCTACAGAATAAGAATACATTAGAGGCTTTGAGGACAGTTGGGCAGGGGGTAATGAAATGGCTGCTCTTTTGAGTATAGGAACCAGCAATGGGCCTTCCATTCAGTTAGTAAAGCACTGCTAATTATCCTGACTCCTCAGGAGTAAATCATTCCCTGGAGTAATACTCAGTTTTGACACACCTTTTTTATGCAGTCAGGAAGAGAATTGAAGCACCTGCTTGAGATGCATTCCAACTCCACCTAGTGTGGAAACCAACTAATGGTCAAGCCACTCCTGGCATCTACTTCTTCCCCTCAACATAGAAGCGCACCCTACATAAACACCTTGGAATTTCTTGTAGTTGGCAACTACTAATTCCAGCAATGAAGATCACTAATGATTTGAGTTTTTAAGAAAAACAAAACAAAACAAAAAAACCTCCTAAATTGCAAATGCATTTAGAAGACAGTAAACATTAAATCTTGTGGCATCACATCTTATTTTCTGTATTATCTTAGTGTGAATCAATTTCCCAAATATTCTTGTTAACAGCTCAGTGAAATTTCCTGATGAATTGAGGTTCAACTAATATTTATAAAGTACTTAACCCACACTAAGAATTGTGTAAGTACTTCATTTATAATATCTCCTCTAACCTCTAAATAACCCTACAAAGAATATATCAATAGCCTTGATTTCCACAGGTGAAAAACTAAGATTTAGAAAAGCTAAGTGATTTCAACAGAGTTGCAGAGCCAGTAACTGGAGATCCAGAAATGAAGCACAGGTTTCCTGACTCAATTTCTAGCATGTTTACCAGAGTTAATCAGACTGATGTGTCTCCTAAATCTCATCAATTCTTAAAATAAGATAATCTATGACCATGTACAAAATACACAAAAAAAATTCTCTAACATAGTGTAAGGATATAGTACTCTAACTGCCTGAGAGAAATATCTGGATTCATTTGATAGTTCTATATTTCATTACAAGTTAATATATGACATATTAATTACATTAATATATTTATTCATTATACATAATGTGATAATATTTCATTATACAAGTTAATATATTACATATATTATAATATGTTTCTGGCTAATAAGCCAGTCTCTTGTGATTTCCTGTTCTATCTCTGGGGCATCATTCTCGGAAAACTGAATAGATGGAGTTCCTGAGAAAGCAAACCGTCATATATGCTTGATTTTATAAAAGACTTTCCTTTGCAATATGGCTTATTTTCCCTTGCTCTTTAGGCAGAGAGGGCTTTTAAGTCAGTGTCTGACTAATTTAATCTATGACATAGGTCTTAATTAATATGGGATGTTAGGCATACATTAAATGTATTTCTCTTTCTCTATTTTAAGTTTTTCCCAACAAATGTGTACACTTTATTTTAGCTCTTTTTTTCTAAAATAAAGTGATTTGGTGATGGATTTCCCCCTCCCTTCAGACAAATATCATACTGTAGTCACAAGTCTTACAAATATGAATCTTTTAAACCCATGTATATTAAGTACCACAGTTGGGGACAAAAGTATTAAGAATAACATGCTAGTATTGGATAGTATTGGATAAAACTGTAAAAAAATAGAACATTCCCCCCAAAATAGAACATTCTTTGCTGCTTTCTTTCTTACTGTTCTCCAAAGTTCCTATTCTCTATACCAATAGCCAGAATAATCTTTTTAAAATAAGTCAGATTTTGCTCCAAACCACTCATGTCTTCCCATCATATTTTGAATAAAACCCAAAGTGACCACCCCTACAAATCTTTACATGACTACTTTATTTCCTACTACACTCTCTCTCACTCTGCTCCCATCACACAGCCCTCCCTGAGTTTCCTCCTTAAGGTCTTTGAACTTCACAGGAAAATGCTTTTCCTTTCGAATACTCTTGGCTCATGCCCTCATTTAAATGAAAGTTCTGTTCAAATGTCACATCTGATCATATTGCCCTGTCTTTCTCCCCTTTGCTTTGTCTTAATAGCATTTACTGCCACCTCGCACCCTCTTGCTTATGTACTTAGTATAAGCTCAAACAGGAGTTGACATCCTTTATTCTCTATCCCCATCTACAACAGTGCCTGACATGTAGAAGACAGTAATTATTTGTAAATAAATATGGAATATTTTCCTGCCCCTCCTGCTCTCATTTTGGGACACAGAACCAGAGGGCTTACTTGCAAATGCCAGTCAGTGACCAGATGAAGATACAAACACCAGCTGGAGAATGTTGGCTTCATGGAATAAGACCTGGTAAAACACATCCTAAAATGGAGACAGAGCTCTCTTTTAAAAAGGACTTTATAGCTTGCTGTTATTTGCTTAGTTAGAAAAACACAATTCTTGAAAAGGAAAAAAGAGGCAAAACCTGAAGATTTTATTTACATAAATAAGTGAAAAGGTAAATCCACCAAATGCCTGTGGTTCATTGAAATATTGTTCCCAAATATTTGCTTTCCTCTAGAGGAAAAGCCCTACCCATGGGTGTCTGACTTGCAATACCTCCCTGAACACATTTTCACACTTCTTTCCTTCTCTCATCACAGTTTCATAATATAATCACAAGACTTGCAAACAGGAATCTGCTTTGGCCAATGAAATGTGAGTGAAAATGACTATACAATAGCTTTGAGTGGAGACTTTGAGAGTATTTGCTAGTTAGTGTTCTTACTCTTTCCCTCCACCAAGGGAAATGGTATGTCCCAAATAGTCTGATCCCGCTCCTTAGGTCTTAGAAGTCACATGGGTCAGTGCCTCAGCCATACACAGGTGCTAACATGTAATGTGAGCAAGAAGTAAGCTGAGATTCAGGTCCGTTGTAATTATAGAAATAGCAAAAACCAACTGCCACAGTGCCTGTTCAGTGCAAGGCGAGTCTCTGAAACAAAGGCCTCTGACACCCTTTCACCAAGTATTTAATCCCATTTCAATTTAATTTAAACAATTTAAATTCAATAAATTAAAAAGAACAAATTTGAGACTTTTAAGTAAAATATTTGAATAGGAGATGAAGTATTGTTCCTGGTAGTTTTTAGGGCTTGGTTAGTAAAAGTGACTGATAAAATGACACTGTAAATTTGAATGTATTACAAGCCCTAATTATAAGCCAGACTGAATTATTAAAGCATGTCACTCTGAATCAACATGTGCAATTAATGCCAGCTGCAATTTTCTTTTTTTTTTTAAAAAGATTTATTTTTATTTCTGTATGCATAGAAGAACTGGGGTGTAGGCCAGAGGTACAGGGGGTGAGAGGATTCACCATAGACAGTGTGGGTAACAGAACAGGCAGATCTACTGAAATAAACTGCTGAGGGGAGCAGCATGTGAGACAGGAGAGGTCTGCTGTGCCATGTGGGTTAGCTCCCTGGCCAGGGATTAAACTCCTGGCACTCATGCCTCAGTGGCTGACAACAGCTCGATAGTGCTGAGACTTTAACCTCTGAGCCACCAGGGAGGCCCAGCAATTTTCTTTTTATCAAAAGCTTCCTTTAGGAAATTGCCTTGCTCAGCCAGAGTATTTTTTAAATATGTATTTTATAGGTGAGCCAAGAAAACTTAAGTGTATGTCTTCAGAAAAGGTAGAATTTCATTTTGGTAGCTGGGAATTGGCTAAAGCAGTAAGTTATAGGAATCAAAGAAGACAAACACCATGGCTGGGGCATACATTGTGATAGGAAGGATTCAAGCAAACTCTTCAGCTTGAAATGTCCTCGAGGTATCACCCCATTTCTGGCTGTTAGAAGCCTCCTCGTGTTTCTATGTCCCTCTCAAATGCCAGTTTTGTAAGCAAACTTCTGTAACACCGTCTCTGGTCTATAGTTTTGCCATTCCTCATATTTTCATAGCCTATTGTGTCTGCACTAGAGGTGCACTGAATACACATTTACACCAAATGCCAAAAGACTGAGAAATTAATTTTCAGCCGAAGCCAAGTCTGCTGACAAATGTCACTATCAAAGAATAAACTTCTAAGACACAAATAAACCTAGAATTTTACATCAAAATTATCATTATTACTTTAGTTATCATTTAAAATGTTAGTGTTTGGGGCCTCCCTCGTGGCACAGGGGTTAACTCTCAGCACTATCAAGCTATGGTCAGCTACTGCAGTATGAGTTCAATACCGGCCAGAAAGCAGACCCACATGGCACGGCAGACCTCTCCTGTTTCTCCCGCTGCTACCCTCAGCAGTGTATTCAATCAGTTTGCCTGTTTTGCTCCCCATTCTGTTTCTGATGAATCCTCTCACCGCCGCCCCCCCCCACACCTCTGGCCTATACCCCAGTTCTTCTATGCATAAATATATAAAAATAAATCTTTTAAAAAATAAATAAAATAAAATGTTAGTGCTAAAATTGTTAAGTTTGACATAGTATTATAGAAACAATCACTTCCTACCACTGTTCACTGTTCAGCTTTCCTACAGTCACTACAGAGAGTCAAATTTCAGTGGAGGTGAGTGGATGAAGATCCATACCCTAAATGGAATGAAGTAAGAATTAAATTCTGGTTTTAAATTCTAAGTGCTAGGCACACCAAATATTTCTACAATGAACAGAGTTATGATATGAAGTAACTTGTACTTATCTTTCTTTGTTATTATTTTAATAATTTTACAAACTTTTTACATGAATTTTATGTAATTTACAAATTTATTGACTTAAAAATATATACTGCTCATCCTAAGTTATCTAGCTAATGCATTCTCTATATTTATATGGTTATATTTATCAATATAGTAACTGTCAACCTATTTATCTACGTAAAAGACCTTAATACTTTTAAGTTGTTTTGAATTGATTTATTTGAAATTAATTTTAGCATATACCTTTCACAATTAGCAATTATTATAGCATGTTACTTATTCAGTAATCAATATATATTATACTTTGATAGTATTTCAACAAATAAATAATAAATTTTCACTCAGATTACATAGAACACCTGGCTAAATGTAAAAGATGAAATAGTGGCAAATCTAAATGACATACTTTCGTTCTGATGAGTGATACTGCTGACTAATTAGATATAAGGATAATACTCTTAAACCCATAAATACCAACTGTGCCAAAGTTCAAGGATGATGGAAATAATATTAAAGTAGACATTCCAAAAGTTGAGTCCTAAAGCCCAGGTCAAAGAGCAGATTTTTGGCCATACACCAAATGTCTTTTTTGCCAATGTCACTTAAGATAGACTTAACTTTAAGACATGCACATTCCACTTCTTATTGACAGTTAAGCTTTCAGTCAGGCTGTTAGGTCCTATTTTTTCTCATTCTATCTTTTATAGTTGATATTTTATTTTATTTTTTTAAAGATTTATTTATTTATTTACACAAGCACTGGGTACAGTCAGAAGGGCGGGAGGGTGAGAGGATTCACCAGAGCCAGAGCGGGGAGCAGAGCAGGCAGAAGGACCAAAGTACACTGCTGAGGGGAGCAGTGGGCGGCAGGAGAGGTCTGTTGCGCCATGTGGGACCCTCCTCAGGTGGCCGGGGAGCAGCTGGGGATTGAACCGGCGCTGCAGAGGCTGCGGGGGGCTTTGCAACCCAGCGCTCAACCGCAGCGCCACCGAGAAGGCCTGTAGTTGATATTTTGAAGTAGATAACATTTATTAAATTTTATCTGACTAAATATAGGCTTAAACTTTGGCCCATGCAGATATTTTTAAATCTACTAAATAATTCCTTGTTCCTCCTAGTTTCTATCAGCTATTCCATCAACATCTCTGCTGATCAAAACACTCTGAGGTAAGAGTTCTGTAGTGACGGTTAAGATCTTCTGGTTGAAACCTTCCATTCATTCATTATCTTTTTTTTTTTTTTAAGATTTACTTTATTCATTTATGCATGCAAGAGCTGGGGTATAGGACAGAGATTCGGGGGTTGGGGGAAAGGAGTCACCAGAGACAGAGTGGGGAACAGAATAGGCAGATCCACTGAAATACCCTGCTGAGGGGAGCAGTGGATAAGACAGGAGAGGTCTGCTGTGCCATGTGAGCTAGCTCCCTGGCTGGGGATCAAACTCAAGCTGAAGTGGTTTGTGATAGCTTGATAGTGCTGAGACTCAACCCCTTGCACCACGAGGGAAGCCCATTATTAACTTTTAGTTATGACTAAGAGTGAAAAACTGTTTGAACTTGTCATTTAATTATTGCAATGTTAAGCAGGGCATCTATTGAGTCAAGAGTCTTACTGAAATCCAAATATAGTGTTTTTGGACTATTCATGATTTCCTCTGAGTTACTCTAAGTGAATCTGTGCAGACTGTTAGAAAGCACAACTTTGCTTCGGAGATTACAAAACACTACAGTGGATTATATACCCGAAACTTTTGCTGAAGATTGCTAAATTTAGTGGTCTACAATTTAGACAATCCCCACCACCACCCCATCTTTTTGAGTCATGTACTGCCCTACTTTTCCTACGTCATCTCTCTTACATTGGCATCAGAATCCAAAGCACAGCATAGTTTCATTCAAGCACACATATGTCTGTCTAGTTCCTACGGAGGTCCTGTGACATTAGGGGCATAGCTGGATGGTGTGGGCATCTGACTACCTGAACTATTTCCTGACTGTTGGCACTGGGAAATGGGTTGTTAGCTGCGCAGAGAGGTTGTATAGGGCGCCACTTCTTATAGCTAACAAGGAAAGGTTAAATGATCAAACAGAGGGTGGGTCCTAACAGAGATAAGTCTGACACACAATAGACTCAGTAGTCAAGGAGTCACTCTTGAAGCCAGCTTGCTCAATCCAAAGGAGGAAACCCAGTAAGCAGAGCAAGTGCAAACAAGTTGAAACACCAGGGAAGTCAGGAGGTGCTGAAGGGAGAGGGTGGGTCAGGAGTAACTCCTGAGTCAGCTCTATCGTATTTATTCAATTCTTGGAGTGAGGGGGGAGGGCCCACCTGCCAGAATGGAAACACAAAAATGAGTTAGATTCAGTCCTACTCAAATTTCTGACATTGTCAGCACAAAATGGAGAACTTTGTTGGCATTAATATCTACAGATATTTATTTAGGTTAGAATTTAGGATAGTAATACCTAAGTGTCTTCTACATACAAGGTCATGTTCTAAGTGTCTTATACATTACTCCTTATGAGAGTAGTACTGTGAAATATGACTTTAAGTCCTATTCTACAGATGAATAAACTGAGGCTAGTGATCCATATAAAGTCATACAAGTAACAGAAGTGAGGTGTAAATTAGCCAAGTCTGATGCCAAAATGCACACTCATAACTCCTATTCATTACAGTCCCATAGACTGGAAAAGAAAAGCCTTTAAACACAGTAATTATTGTACTTCCTTGTCCAGGAGAGGGTGTGAAGTAGCAAATACCGAAATCAGATATAGGCTTCTTTGTGTCTTAGCTGTACCTCCTTATCAGCCTAAGTGACAGAGTTAGAGCAGAGTTCAGGAGGAAGGCAGGAAGCGCCCCTTCTTGTTTTTCCAGGGCAAACCTTTACAATGTCACTTTCTTATTTTTTAGTGTTCTGTGAATCTCAGCATAGCTTAAAAAAAAGTAAAACCAAAATTAATATAAAAATTCATAGTACAACAATTAACCCATTTCAATTATTTGTATTCTAGCTCCCATTTATTCTAACAAGAGTTAGCTGAATATGTGCACTTTTGTTTTAACAAGTTCTCCTTTCTCCCTTTGGCTGCTCCTGCTTGTCTAATGACTTCACATCTTTATAATGAGCCCCTTTATAGTCCTTTCTGCAAATGTAATCATCTAAGATAAAAATGTGGTACCAACCATTTATTTTACTTAATTTTAATTTTTTCCAACCATTTATTTTAAAGAGACAGTGTGTCTAAACCTTACCAGATTAAATCAGTCTTTACTTTCATTTTAAAAGTTTATTATTTCTAATGCTTTCTACATATTTACTTAAAATTTCATTACAGACACAGTGAATATATCTTTGAAAGCAGAATGACTTGGTTAATTAAAACAGTTTACATTTACCTTAGCATTAGGTCTGGCTAATCCCAAAGGGTCGAACAATGCTACTATTTGTGCCAAATGGAACCCATATTAACTACTAAGGGTAAAAGTATTTCACTCTTCATACATTTCACTTTATCACACATTTATTTCTCACACAATGTTCAAGTTCACATTTAAGAGACAAATTTGCCTTTAATTCCTAAGTGAATATAATAAATATCTACCTTTGATGAAAAGTTGCAAAATGAAAAATGAAACTGGATTTTTTTCAATAGGCTTAGCCAAATAAATGTTGCCAACTTAAGTTTAAATAGTTTACAAAGTACTATTTCCATTGTTCTCTTCAAAACAATACAGGTACACATAAGGTCACATTACAGGCATCCAAACTTGTAAGATATTACAGATTGGTGGCATGCAAATATTTTAACATTTTTAATACAATGTAAAATGTTTCTTTTCCTTGAATAGATGAAACAAACTTTTAAGATGAAGTTTTAATTAAAATATAAATATTATTCCATGAATATAGTGGGTTTTTTTTTTTTAAACCAAAGTGTCAGAGATAATAATTTCAGTTCAGAGTAATTTCTTCCTTAACTAAAGATTGTCTCTGGCAACATTTGGTACTAAAATAAAATTTTCTAAAACAGCACATTTTCTATCCATATCATGTCACCACCTGGCCAATTCCTTTCTGCCCACATTTAAGATAATCCATGGGAAAGTTTTAATCCTGGGTCAGTTTCTCTCAAATTGCAAAGTGCACTTCTGATTGGCTGCTCTTTATCATCCAGTCAATATGTGCTCAGAAATACGCATGTGCACACACACACATACACAAACAAAGTTTAAATAAAAGCCTATGAAAACACGCTGTGTGTACTGTGCTCAGTTTCTTTTTTCTTTTTTTTTTTGCATTTCCTCCTCTCCTCCACCATATTTGAGGAGAAAATATATATTTTTAAATGGCTCATCCAGACCTATTCTGAAGACAGTAAAAACCACTGAAAAGGAATAGATAAGTCTCTCTGTGGAATGTGGAATGTTCAGACCTTTTTTTTTTTTTTTCCTGAACAAAGTCTCCTGAAGAGAAATGGAGTTGAACAGAAACATACCAAATCAGAGATGATGGAAACACATGAATCACAGGACTGTAAAGTCTCAGAATGAGAAGGGACCTGTGCCCAAGGTCTCACACAGCTGACATCCAGATCAGGACTGTTTTCCAAAAATATCACATGGTGGCAAATGGAGCATAATTCTTGTGGGGGTGGATGACAACATTTAGTGAGCACCTACTATGTACAAGGCACCTTACGAGATGCTATTGAAGATACAAATAATGATGTGACAGTCCCTCCCTCCAAGTGCTTATGAAAGTACTGTGAAAGTTCAAGCTTCAATATCTTTCTTAGCAGAAAATAATACTGACCAAGGCTAAGGTTGCTGGTGATTACGAGGCAGCTGCTATCAGGAGAACTGATCTTGTAAGTGATACTTTCTCCCCATCACTACAAAGCTGAGGCCTGTTACACAGCTGCTGGAGCCTGAAGGACAAACTTCTTTCCTGGGCCTCTAATCACACCTCACCTCATAGCCTGACCTCCTCCCCCTCCCAGTGGTGACAGCTGCGAAGGAGGGGGGTAGAAGTGCCCCTTGTGTCCAGTCTTAGTCTCTCTGCAAGAGTCCTGACCATGTCCCAAGGTACTTGTCAAAGTGACCCAGGAAAATGTATGTGCGTAGCACACACATGACTGGTGTATAACACCCACCATCCCACCAACCTCCCCCACCTCTGTGTTGAAAATAAAGTAATTCCAGTTCTCTATACCATACCTATGCTTCAATTCCCCATACATGAAGAGATGTGGAAGATGTAATTTAACTGTTGGTCAGAAGCAAAATCAATTCAAGAGGCAGTGAAAAACATTAATGACTAGATAGTAAAAATGATCTCCAACTATTGTATAGCCCTTTCTAGTAGTGTTTTTAGACAACCATCTGATTATATTCTCACCACAACTCTGTGAGGTAGTTAGTGAAGATATTACTCCCATTCTATAGCTGAAGAACCTTAGGCTTGAGAGACTAAGAGGCTTGACCCCAAAGTCACCCAGCTAAGAAAGTGTGGAGCCAAGTGTCCAGGTTTCTTGACTCCAAATCCAGTGCTCTTCCCCCTATATTTTCTATAATTGTCAGGCAATTGAATGAATTGCCCATGATCATATACCTGCTAAGTGTTGGTGATGGGATTAGGAGTCAGTCTCCAAATTTGTAGTATGGTGCTCTTCCACCATACCAACTAGCAGAGCCAATGTGCTCAGAATAACTACCACAGAAGGTGTCAGAGAAATGTCTAGTCTCCTTTAACCTTCCCCAAGTCAGCAATGCATCACAAAAGCAGGATAACTGCTGGTCTTCCTGGAACAGTACTCAAGTCATGTTATAAATGTAAATCTTGGAACTCCTCCATCTGTCTCCTAAATGTTCAATCACTGCTGTTAGAGGATGAAAAGGAAGAGGTAAACTCAGTCGAGCTTACGTCTGCCCTTATGCAAATCAAACCTTTAATTTCCAATTTCCTTCCCCATTTCACTCTGCCCCTCCACTTTATTAAACTCCTAAACCACAGAACAAATCTTATCTGATTTGGAGTTGGGAGCAAGAAAACAATGAATACATTTGAAGTTCTGGGTGCTTCTTTCTCTCCAGTTTGTAATATTAGGAGCCTGATCATGTGATTTTTATCCAGATGGCTCAGCTTGATGTTCCCAAGCGTTCCCACACCTTTCCTTTACATGTGTCTCCATCACTGAGCCTTGAGGAGGGGGTGAGTGGCAAGGGTATTTGAAATGAGAAGCCATTAGGGAAAACTGCTCCTGGAAGACAGCACTGTAACATTTCCTCTTAGTTCTTTGCTCATTAAAGTGAAGCTAGCTATTATTGTATCATTCATGGAAGAAGGCAGTTTCAGGATCAGGACTTAAAACTCAGCTCCAGAAATACACCACAGAACTTGCTATTCACAACTCACCACCTCCCTGCCCATTTTTGCTGATGCTATCAGTACTTGAACTAAAGACGGTATCTACTTGCAAAAAAGGCACTCTACCTCCAAATCCAGCAGCACACATCACATTATAATAATCCAGAGATCTTATACCTCCTCATCTCTTTTAGAGTACCTAAAGACACTTAAGTACATGAGCCATAAAAAAAGGAAATATCTGCAAACTCTTTCGGACATTTTAAAGAGCTATCTTACATTTAAAAAAGCACGCTGATGTTGAACCTTGGTCGCAACTGTGAGGATCTGACATGTTCTCATGGCAGTTATTCTGAGCACACTGGTTTCCCTGATGGGGCACCCTGCCAGGGGCCACATTTCTATCTGAAAGAGAAGCAGCTGTTGTTATTTTTATTTTTTGGTCTCATGAGCCAGGCTTCCCTTAGGGAAATTGTTCGAGGAATATAGGCATTGGGATGATTTCTGAGTTTTCAATGCTGATGGGCTTTTATTGTAAGATGAATTGCATGGTCGAAGATGGGTGAGTTGCAGGTGTCCTTGAGGGTTAGCGATGCCCTGTCTAACCCAGGCCCCCAGCAACTTTGAGAAGGGGAAGGGAAGAGGGACTGGGAGACAGCATCTCCCTTCAATCAGTTGTCCAGATGTAGCCAAATACTTCCTTACAGTATTTGGTGATTTTTTTATATACAATATTTATATACAATATGCCCTACATAGATGGGAGGGGCGTAATCATATCCATGAAAATGAAAGAGCATCCACTTACACACTTTAGGCATATGGAGAGCTTGGATGCTAGAATAATGAAATGAGTTCCAGGCTTCTAATGTATACTCCTTAAGAGCTCTCTTTTCTACATGCTGTGAAATTTGGTGGTTGGTGACCTAAGCTGCAAACTCCAGGGAGTGATTCACTTTAACCTGGGCCTACAGCAACTCTAAATAGGACAAGGGAAATGGAACTGGGGAGAGAGCATCTCCCTTCAATCAGTTGTCCAGATGTAGCCAAATACCTACTTAGATATTTGGCAACACAGAAATATAGACAGACAGACACACACACACACAACACACACAACACACACACACCATTTATTAACATTATGTTCTACAAGAGAAAAGGAAGGGATTTAATTATGCTGATATGGATAAAATAGTTTCCATTACATACTTTAAGCAGACAGAGCGATGTTATGCTGGACTAATTACATGATTCCTAAACTTCCAAAATGTATCATCTTCCACATATGCTGTGGTAGGTGTTGTTCACAGGAGCCTGCAAGTCCAGGTGAATGACTTTATACTTAACACGGGCCTGTACAAGTCTAAAAGGGGAAAGGAGGGGGTTTTGGGGGAGATTACCTCCCTCTAGATATCTAGATGGTGCCAAACATCTCAACATACTATTTGACAAAATGTATACATATAAAAATATTTTATATACATGAAGCCCCACCATGATGGATGGTAAGGGATTAAAAATGCTCATGATTATGAAAGTGCTTCCACTTACAGACTTTGGGCAGATGGTAAAATGTAGTCTTAAGTTAATGAAATGATCAATAGGTTCTCAAAAATGTAAGCTTATCACCTGATGGCTATTTTTTAAATACATGAATACTCATGGAAAAGTCTCCTTTCAAGCTACTTTAAAAACATTGGTAACGATAAGATAAACTAATTGTAATAAATATCTGATTTCATGACCCAAATATTTTACAAGCTAAAAACAATGATATGTTTTATAATATTCCATTATCTTGCTTTAATACTATCAACAACTATAGCATAGTCACTACAAATTCTGATTTTTTTCTTGCTTTCTGCTAGGCTTCTCAGGAATTGCTTAGGCCCCAGTCCACAGCACCTTGGGGCTGCAGGGGACACTCAGTGGGATTCTGGATTTCTTAGGGGTAAAGGTAAGAGAGTGAATGCAAAGAAAGGAAAAAATAATTACTTGGAGGCAGAGCCTCAGTACTTAAATTTATCTGCAATAAATCTAGGGATAGGATAAAGGCAACTAAGAGAAATGTTCTTCTCTTTGGCAACATGGTAACCAAAACATATCTAAACAAACCAAAAAAATTGTATACATTTCATCCAGTGGTGTGCTGATGAAATTTCTTCAACTACCAACTTGAGGTAAAGGGGAGAGCCCTGCTTTATAACATTTGTTAGTTTTCATGGTATATATAAATACTTCCACCATTGCCAATTTCAAACCACAACTAGAAGTATGGAATTTCTGATATGGGAAGAGTTGTATAATAGCACACCATTACAAAGTATTTCTGCTACTTAGACACAACAGATGTAAATAATCTCAACAAAGAATATAGTAAAATGTATTTTGGGGACTTACTTTTGTTTTTAATATAATTTATTTAAGTACTGTCACTTCACTTTTAATAATGGCTGTATTTCATAGCCAGTTTAATAATAGCCATTATTAAATTCTAGAAAATTTGATAATCAGTGAGCCTTTATAAATTGGCTCCAACATACCACACAGCTAAATGAGTAAGAGGGAAGGAAATTTAGTATGTGTAGTTGAAAACATATTAAAGGATTTTTAGGGTTCAAAAATGTTAATATGTTCAGTTTATTAGTCTCCTCAAGATGTAAAATATCCTCAAGAAAATAAGCAGTTTTGAAGGATATTAGGCATACAGATGTGGGTACTTTTAACTATACAGGTAAATGTCCAATTTTAAAAAAGCTATATATCCTGAACAGTTTCCATGTGCTTTACAAGCTAACTGGACAAATGTACAAATTACGTTTCCATTACCTTGTTTTACTACAACGAATGACTCCATTACTAAACAAATTCTGGACTGGGTCCACCTTCTGCCTGAGTCAGGAAACTCTTTAGCTCCAAGTGTCACTAGAACATGATGCCACCATTACCAAGACTCAAAATGACAGAGAAGAGAACAATGAAGGGGGTGGGAAGAAGAGATGCCGAAGGGGGTGTAAGAGAACCCCAGTTACAACCTGGGGCACTGACAGTTATCAAAGACTTAGAGCTTGAGCCAAAGGCTACAGCTCCATGTTTCCCTAGTTCAGCATTGCACTGTTACACAGCAAGATGAAAAGATTACTGCATATCTCCATGCAACCATCTCAGCATACTTTCACAGGCTTTAACCTTGAGATGACAGATCTCTGAATAAGTGATAATTCACATTTTTTCCTGATGTTTGCAAATGTCTGGATGGATCATACCATGTGGACAAAAAATTTGTATAATTAATGTCAGTATTCATGTTTCAGACTATGCTCTTGTTACACTAAGCATAGAGCAATAAATGCTGCTCAAAATTTCCCAGAAAATGCAATCATGTATATTAGACAATGTTGATGAAGGTACAATTCTTTGATGTTTTATTTAGGAATGACTGTCGTAAAAGTCTTCCTCCTTGTACCAAAATTTAAAAATTTTCCACCATATCTGGAAAACTTAAAGACAGGTTTTTTAAAAATTATCCACAGAGTGATGTTAAAGATTGAATAGGTTGAATAATTAGTAAAGGTAGGTATGCTGATTCATCTTGCTAGCTGTGAGTCCAGCATGAAACTATATTCATGGGTTAATAAACATTTTAGACTTATTTGCTAATGCTCGGTTGAAGTATAATGCTGCCTTGCTTTTTTGAAGATGACACCATTGATCTTCAATCAGTGGGACTAGCACACTTAGTGATACTTTTGAAACTAAGGGAGAATTTGTGATAAGTTGGTCACATTTTTTCACCCACTAAAATATTGGCATGCTAACTTCTTTTGCAGTCAGCAGAACACTTCTGATATACTGAGCCTAACTCAAAGCTGGGCATGTAAACAGAGATAGGCCTCTATCACAATCACACTTACAAACACATCTAAGTAAAAGATTCCTTTCAGTGGTTAAAAGTTCATCTAAGAAAGTAAGACAACCCAACAAGAAAGTGGTTAAATCATTTTTGATTGCTGTCGCCCACTGAGATCAGCATAAGTCTACTGGTTAGTTGCCATGGGTTCCCATGGACAAATAAAATAATCATATATATTAAAAAATCCAAGATAAATAAGTAATGCTAAAAAAAGAACATAGTTAATATTAGTTGTGTGGTTAACGGAAATCAACAACCTTTTATAAAATGGTCCTGATGGAGGAGGAGAGTTTTTATTTGTTTCTAAATGGCTGCCATGATGAAATTTTGCCTCTTCATGTAGATTTTTACCTTCGGTCTCCTTCAACTCGCTTTTTACGAACTAGGTAAGAGAAAAAGAAAAAAAGGAAAGGTTTAAAGAGACAAACTAAAGGACTGTTCCTTAAACTCCACACAAACAACATTAATCACACAGAACAGCAACTCTACACATTTGAGGTTACAAATGATCCATGGCAATCAATGGAAATGATATAAAAATCCAACGGCTTGTGGAATTTACATAGAAATAAAGCTAGCTGCGAACTGGAATGTTATAATCTTCCCGTTTCTAAAGAGTAGGGCTAGAATAGACCCACACAACAGTGAACATCTAAATATTTTCATGGTCACTTATTCACAGCATATCTTCTCAGTTTCTGCGCAACTCAACCACAAATAGGCTTTCACTCCCCAGGAAGAAATATTCACAATCTACTAACTCTGATAATGGCTTGAAGAGGAGAAGGAGCTGCAAACAGAAGTTCCAAAGTTTCTAAACTCATTTAAAATAAGAACTCCCATGTATCAACCTCCAAGGAAAGCATGATTCGGATGGAGGAGCAAACTTAGCGATTAAAGTTACCTTAAACTGGCAATGAATATCAAAGGAGTAGTCAGGTTTCCTGTTCCCAGTTTCTGTACCTGTCTTTCCCCTTTTCCAACTCTCCACCTGCAGGCTCGTCTGGCCCATAGAAAGGGGCTGGTCTAAGCTTCCTTGATTAGGGAAATGCCCCATTGGTCTTATTCAGCCCACTCCTTTCTAGGCTAAAGAAAAGTAAACAAAAGCTGTTGTCCACAGTTGTTGTTCTTGGGCGCACTGACACCTCTCCATTTACTTTAATCCTCACTTAGTCTGTTTTTCTTGGTCTCCATCTTGTTCAGCTGTGAACCCCATGTGCTTTTCCTGGGTACTTTCTGACTGCTGCCTCCACCCTTTCTCAAAGTCCTATATGTATTGGCACGCCCCTTTCCCCTCACCTTTTGCACCCCAAAGGCAAACAATGCACTATGCCCAGCAGGACTCTGGATGACACACACTGTACCCTAGCTGGGCTTCAGAGACTTAGTTAACTAATTCTGGGCAGGCAACTGGACATTAACCTTTACCTGCCCCTTTCAGCTCTAGGCCTTATTTTTCAACTTGCCCACTATCTGAATCCACCCTCTTTCTCCCATGGTCAACAATACACATGGTGAAAAAGCTTGCCTAGTTTGCATGCCAAGGTCTGGCATTCTTTCCTTGACTTCAAACTGGGGCCTGGGGCCTGGTATAGGTTCACTGCTTGCCAGTGTTCTATCTGCTGGAAGTCCTTTCATCAAGCTGCTTCAGGTGACTGGGATGTCACTAGACCAAGCCTTCCTAATCTGTCCCATTTTTTTTTAAAGATTTATTTACTTATGCATACAAGAACTGGGGTGTAAACCAGAGGTACAGGGAGTGAGAGGATTCACCAGAGACAGAATGGGGGAGCAGAACAGGCAGACTGATGAAATACACAGCTGAGGGGAGCAGTTGGCAAGACAGGAGAGGTCTCCTGCACCATGTGGGTTAACTCCCTGGCTGGGGATTGAAATTGTGCTGCAGTGGTTGGCAATCGCTTGAAAGCACTGTGTCTTTAACCCCTGTGCCACCAGGGAGGCCCCAATCTGTCTCATTCTTCCATGCTGTATTTGGCTAGCACATGTCCCACCTCATCCTAACAGAAAAAATGCCACAGATCTTCAATCATGAGTAGCAGGAAAATCAAAGAGGGTTAATACAAAATTAAATAACAATCAATTCAACTACTGAATTTTCTACTCTGGGGTCCATATCCAAAAATAACTGAAAATCAAAAAATATCTGGGGTCCATATCCAAAAATAACTACCTCTGAGTTTAACCTTCCTAAGAGCTGTGCTAGTTTATTTCACATGTGAATCACCAAAGTATCTGACATAACCATATGCAAAACCTAAGTCCAAAAGCACAATCAGGAGTCAATCATAAGTGAACTGGGAATTTCCATGTCATTGTATCCAACTTCTGGTGCAGATAACAACACAGGATGATGATTTTCCGTAAGAAGTATGTAAAGGAGACACAAATAAGCAAAGGACATCAAGCAAAAAATCAAAGGCTGTCTTGAAAAAAGAACAAACAGTTCTTGAGAAAATGCTACAAGGGAAGTTAAAAACCATGACGATTCCTATGACCACGTAATAATGTGCCTTTGACGAAGGATGGACACCACAGGCAGCGGTACGGTATCTGTGAGATGTTCTATGTGAAGTAGAGAAACGAAAGGTCATCACACTCCTCTAACAGCACATATTGCAGCTGCATTACCCAGGTCGTTATTCTTTGTGATGGCAGCTGCCACCCTTGTTCGTGGTCCTTGCTTGGTAAACTGATATCCAAATTTAAGGATCCTTGAATTCTCCTCAAGCATCTGAGCAATTTCCATCTCTACAGCGGTTCCCAACTGCTGTCTCTGGTTGTGAACATGAACATATACACAAGGAGACAAGAAAGGTGGAGGAAACAGTTACTTGTGTGACTAAGATGCATGGCGACTTGGGCAAAAGATGGAGGCAACTGACAGGGATAAAATCACTTGGGATATTTTCTCCCTTATAGTCATTTTCAGATCAGCTCCCTTTATCTAAAGTAAAACCCAATAGACAAATGGTCAAATCTGCTAGCATGCTGCACTGAAAAGATTAGACAAATCATTTATGATGACAAGGATGATTCTATATGTTACATAAAAGCAAAACTTATTTGCTGTTCTAACTTACTCCAATATTTCTGGTTTAAACAAAAGGTGCTTTTTAATAGTGACTATCTTATAGCAATCAATCCAATTACTGACTTTTTTATTCTGGGGTTCATATCCAAAAATAATTAAAGATGATCCATTGAATGGGTCTTTTTCTCTTAGCAGTCTCTCTAGGAGATCCCCAAGAGGCTCATTTGTGGTTTGAACCATGACCAGGAGAACTATAAGAAAGTGAAGGGATTGGTGAGCTACAGAAAAATCACCAAGGTTTTAAATTGGTGGAGGTTTTTTTTTTAAATTGAGATATTAAAAAAAAAAGTAGACCTAAAATGGGGGCATGCCAAGTATAGGAATTTAAAATTAAGTTAAAGGAGGGGCCTCCCTGGTGGCACAGGGGTTAAAGTTTCAGTGTTATGAAGCTATGGGTAGCCACTACAGCATGAGTTGGATCCCTGGCCAGGGAGCTACTCACATGGCACAGCAGACTTCTCCTGTCTCACCCATGGCTCTTCTCAAGTAGATCCGCCTGTTCTGCTCCCCACTCTGTCTCTGGTGAATCCTCTCAACCCCTGCACCTCTGGTCTATACCCCAGTTCTTGAATGGACATATAAATAAAAATAAATCTTTAAAAAATTAAATTTAAGGAATAGTATATTTTTCTTTTTTTTTAAAGATTTACTTATTTATGCATATGAGAACAGGGGTACAGGCCAGAGGAGTGGGCCGTAAGAGGATCCACCAGAGACAGAGTGGGGAACAGAACAGGCAGATCTACTGAAATACACTGCTGAGGGGAGCAACGGGTGAGTCAGGAGAGGTCTGCTGCTCCATGTGGGTTGCTCCCTGGCCAGGGATCGAACTCATGCTTCAGTGGCTGCAGTTAGCTTCATAGGTTGCGTCTTAACCCCTTGCACCACCAGGGAGGCTCAAATTTAAGGAATAGTATATTTTTCAAAGCAGATCCATGAAAAAAAGTACAGGCTAGTTTAGAAAAAAACTAAAAAAAAAAAGTATAAAGTTCCCTTCCCCCAGTATTTTCATTCCCCAAGAGAAAGTATGGCATGCAGTATGTTGTCTTTTAAATTATTTGTATTTTCTATGTGTTCATTTATCTATGTAATTGCATACACATTACATATATCCTTTTCTCACACAGCTAGTGTATTTTTCTAAGACATGTTTTTGTTTTTTATTTAACAGTAAGAACATGTTTACCTCCACCTTATAAATGGCTGTGTAGCATTCCATTGAAGTGATGAGTCAATTTAGCTAAGCCCTCATCACTGACTGCTACCAGTTTCTACTATGTCAAACAAACACTTCAGTGAATTTCCCTTGCCCACAGTACATGCGTTGGCATTTCTGTAAGTATGCCTATAGGCCGAATTATAGCTGCATCAGAGTAAACATGTCTCAAATTTTTATATATTACTGACTTCAAAAGTTAGGACAATTTGTACTCCTACCAACTGTTCCAGAATTACAGTTTTCTCTACCCAACCATCAGGGCATATTATCAATCTATTTCATTTTTGTCAATCCAACAGGTCAACTTTCTATTCACTTGGAGTGATTTAATGGCTTTAATTTGCCTTTCTCAAATTGTAAATAAATTTTATTATGCATTTGTATTTCTTTTTTGAAACTACCAAGCTCTGTCAATAGCCCATTTTTCTACCAGCTTTGGTGCCTAGTTTTTTTCTTGATTTGTAAGTTTCCTAAATATTAGGAAATCAGCCAGTTGTCAAATGTGCTGAAAATACTTAAATCAGTGTGTCTTTTTATTTTCTTCTTGATTACTCTAAAGGTCTTTTTCATTATGGGATGGTCAAATTTATCAAACTCTTAGATTTTGTATCATGTTTAGGAAGTCTGATTTCATTCATTTGCTTTATGATTTCATAAATATTTTTATTATTTATTATTTTAATATTCAAATCTTCATTTCATGTGGAATGAGTTTTAGTATGTTAAGATAGACACCTGACTTAATTTTGTTCCAATATGCTAATATATTAAAACATCATTTTTTACTACATTCTTCTCTCACTGATTTGAAATACCACTTTGCACAAAATTCTCAAGTATACTTGGGTATTTATGGACTTTATTGCTAACCAAGGCTATTTCTGCACCATTATGGTGCAATTTTGATGGCTTTATCATATACAACTTATAAAAATTTTCATTTATTTATGTATACAAGCATTGGGGTGTAGGCCAGAGGTGTGGGGGCGGGATGTGTGAGAGGTCTGCTATGCCAGCCATGTGGGTCACCTCCCTGGCCTGGCCTGGGAATGAACTTATGCTTCAGTGCCTGGCGATAGCTTGATAGCACTGAGACTCCAACCCCTGCACCACCAGGGAGGCCCCTCATATACATATTTTATAGAGGCATGTTATTTATTTATTTGTTTGTTTGTTTGTTTGTTTATACATGCACTGGGTACAGTTAGAAGCACGGGAGGGTGAGAGAATTCACCAGAGCCAGAGCAGGGAGCAGAGCAGGCAGAAGGACCGAAGTACACTGCTGAGGGGAGCAGCGGGCGGCAGGAGAGGTCTGTGCACCACGTGGGACCTTCCTCTGGTGGCCGGGGAGCAGCCGGGGATTGAACCCGCGCCACAGAGGCCGCGGGCAGCTTCGCAACCCAGCGCTCAACCGCTGCGCCACCAGGGAGGCCCTACATATTTTAATATACCTTTTAAACTGGGCATTTTAAGTGCTGAGTAGACAAAGGAAAAAAGTTCAGGAAGAAACTTTTGTGTCCAAGGTAAGATCCAAGGTTTAACTCTTTGCACTTCTTTGTTTTCATCCAGCAACCTAACAATTCTGCTTGTCCATGATGTAGAGACTAGTGTTCTAAGCAATGTGGATCAATGGCAGGAAGATGCAGCAAAAATGTGAGATGCTGATTTCAAAGGTTTATGAGCAATTTTAAGTCATGGTACACTTTAGATGAAAGACCTATATTCAGGACTGAGGCCCAAGTTTGGGGCTGACACAGTTTCAGCTTAAGCTCCTGGAAAGCCAAGGTGCTATCCAAGGGCAGACAGAGATGATGGTGAATGTGGCTTACTGAAGGGATGACATGAAAGCTCCTTTATTTCTTCTCACAAATCTCAAGCATCTGGAGTTCTGTACATGGGTAACTTCTAGGATGGGCATGCTATTCACTCTAAAGAACATAGGATCTAAGGAAAATTATTTTGGGAAGGAGGGGTACAGAAAAAAAAGGTGGAGTAAGTAATATAACACAGGGCATCTTTTTAGCCTGAGTTGTTTTTTGGTTTTTTATTTTTTTGAGGCGTTTTCTGTTTAACCCAGAGTAACAAATGAATACCAGAATGTCTTATAATTTAGATATGTTTCTATTTTTTATGCTAAATCATTAAATTAAAAAAAAGCCAATAGTTCCCCTGTTCTCTCTGGCAATGAACAGAGGACTTGCACTAAAATACCTTCCCCCTCCCCTCACCTCCCCATGTCCTAGGCATTAAGTCCCAGCATTATCATGCTATCACCGCTAAGGCCCAGCAGAAAGCTAACCCACAGCAGACCTCTCCTGTCTCGCCTGCTGCTCCCCTCAGCAGTGTATTTCAGTCAATCTGCCTGTTCTGCTTCCCACTCTGTCTCTGGTGAATCCTCCCACGCCCCGCACCTCTGGTCTACATGCCAGTCCTTCTATAAAATAAATAAATATTAAAAAAAACAACAAAAAAAAAAGAACGAACTCCTTAGTCCTGGTTAGGAAAAACAGGAGAATAGAAGCAGAGTTTTATGGAACTTGTTGGGGGTCTCCAACCTTAAGACAAAATTCCTAGGTGAGACCCTGAGGCTTTATCAGATTCTGGAGGCCCTAAAAAGGGGAATTTCCTTCATATAAGAGGCAGTCTTCATTTTAAAAAAATTTATTTATTTATGCATAGAACTGGGGTTTAGGCCAGAGGTACAGGGATGTGTGTGTGAGAGAGGGTTCACAGAGACCACAGTAGGAAGCAGAATGGGTGGATCTACTGAAATACACTGCTGAGGGGAGCAGTGGGAGAGACAGGAAAGGACTACTGTGCCATTAGTGGGTTTGCTCCATGCCTGGGAATTGAATTCAGGCCGTGGCATGCCTTTGTGGTAATAGTGAGACTTGGAGGCCCCCAAGAGGTTTTCTTAACAGGGCCTCCCACCACCCTAAAGGGGAGTGCTCATAGAACAAGTCTCCCTGTTCTTCCTTCTTTCTAGTCCATTTCAGGGCCCTTTCTTTCTTTCTTTCTTCTATATGGTGTCTAGACCCTTTAGAGTCACTGAATTCCAGGCAGACACTCCCCTGTAGCCAAAGGGGCAGAGCACAGCATCATGCTGAGAATTTTTGTTGGCAGGAGCCAGTAAAGCCAGCAAAGCGACTCTGAAGGCACTAGAGGCTGATTCTGGGAAAAGAGGTCTAAAGGGCACAGGAAGTGGCAGTTCCAGAGAAAAGCAGCTTGCTTTGATTATTGATGGGAACCAGAGAAATGCTGTGACAGAGCTGGGGTTGTGATCACACTGCGTGCTCTAAGTCACACCACCTTTTAGAATCCTGAGCCTTTTTTGAATGGGCTCCATGGCCAGCACCAGACTGCAAGAGCCCTGGTGTACTCTTTCGAGAAGCAAGGAAAAGGCTGAGACAGGATTTGGTAAAGATTCCTGTTAAGAGGCAACAGATGATGATGGTGGATTAAAGCAGCTGTGGACACTTCTGGCCCCACCTCCTCGCTTTCTCCTCTGGTGTCGAGCCCGGTGTTGGGGATAGCTGCTTCTTAATATCTAAGGTTACTACACTGTGCACTGTTTAATTATTAACATGCTCTTCCATACACCTGCCACAGAAGCTATTAGAATTTACAGAAAATATCAAGTCAAGTCACAGAACTTTGTCTTTTCACTCTCTGCACAGCGACATCCCTTTCATCGGGTCCTGTGAATAAGCTCACCTGGTTGTCAATCTTGATCTCTGTCAAGGTGTCATTTTCTCTCAGTGCCTCTACCAGGGCGAGGATCCCAGTTCCAGTGATGAAATTGGATTCTACGTTTAGGCTTTTCAAGGTCTTGTTTATTTTCAGCATATCTGCAAAAGCCTTATTATGCAAAAATAATTAAACACTGGCATTACACTTAAATCCCAATTAAGTATTTTTTGCATAACTTAAAACCAGTTAAATCATACTTTCACCTCCAAGTAACAAAAAGTAATTTAAAATTGCAATAAAAAAGTTTAGTTCAGCAGCCCAGACATGACTTTCAATACCTATAAGACTAAAACAAATAAGATACTGGCATAAGATTATTGTAAGGACATTTTTTTTTAAAGATTTATTTATTTATACAAGCACTGGGTACAGTCAGAAGCGCGGGAGGGTGAGAGAATTCACCAGAACCAGAGTGGGGAGCAGAGCAGGCAGAAGGCCCGAAGTACACTGCTGAGGGGAGCAGCAGGCGGCAGGAGAGGTCTGCACGCCATGTGGGACCCTCCTTCGGTGGCCGGGAGCAGCTGGGGATCGAACCGGTGCTGCAGTGGCTGCCGGCAGCTTCACAACCCAGAGCTCAACCGCTGCGCCACCGGGGAGGCCCAGGACATTTTTTTTTTAAGATTTATTTATTCATACATATAGGAACCGGGATACAGGTCAGATACTTGGAGGGTGGGAGGATTCACCAGACAGAGCAGGGAACAAAACAGGCAGACAGACTGAAATACACTGCTGAGGGGAGCAGCGGGCGAGGCAGGAGAGGTCTGCTGCGCCATGTGGGATTCTCGCAACCAGCTGGGATCGAACCCGCGCTTGCAGAGGCTGTGGACAGCTTCACAGCACTGCGCTCAACCACCTGCGCCACCAGGGGAGGCCTTACTGTAAGGACATTTTTACAAAATCACTACCATCTGTTATCATTGCTAGGTTTTTGGTTTTTTTGAAAAGGCATTTTTAACATTAGAGAAAATGAAGGACAATTTCAGAATTATTTTGTCCCTGTTACAATGAATGAATTACAAAACACTTCACTGTTGCTAGCATTAAAGCACTGTTGATTTGATCATCTTATTTCAGGCCATCTGTAAATCAGAATTCCACAAAGATAACTTTTGGAGCAAAATTTTCACTCAGAGTGGCAAATCCAAAGGAGAGCTCCCAGTTAACAGCAGACTGCACACAAGTCTCTCTTTGCCTGCCCACTGTACTCCCAAAGTTTCTGTCATGAAGAAATAATTTTTATTTTTTTTTAAAGATTTTATTTTTTTTACATAGAAGAACTGGGGTATAGGCCAGAGGTACAGGGAGTGAGAGAATTCACCAGAGTAGGGAGCAGAACAGGCAGATCCATTGAAATAGACTGCTAAGGGGAGCAGTGGGTGAAACAGGAGAGGTCACCTGCGCCATGTGGGTCAACTCCATGGCCATGGATCGAACTCATATGGTGGTAGTGCTGAGACTTAACCACAAGGCCACCAAAGAGGCCCTCAGAAATAATTATTAAATCACTAGAGCACTGACAGTACAAGAAAACAAACAACAACAACCAAAAAAGAGGGCCATTATCTTGAAGAACTGCGAAAACACAGCAAATAGATTGGTGGAGAACTTAGCTCAAAGGAAGCTGATACCTGAGATGCCACAGGTAAGTCCCAGCTGGGACAAATGGAGCAGATGCAGAACACACCAGCCCTCTGGGGAGTTCCCAGAAAAAGAAAAACTTCAGGGAACCTATCAGTGAGAAATCTCCCAGGAAAGCCACTGGTGAGAGTGCAGGACTCCAGAGAGAAGCACCTCCAGGCCTTCCACAAACAAAATGCAGGAGAATGAGGAGCAAGGCAGCTATGTCCAGGAAAGAAATAATAGCTGATGCTTAAATAATGAGGGAGTTAAGGGAATCAAGTTCCCCCTAGTAGTCTTCTCTGTCAAAAATCTGAGATAATTTTTGACTCGCCTCAAAACTTAACAGTGGGGCCTCCCTGATGGTGCAAGGTTACATCTCAGCACTATGAAGCTGTCACCAGTCACTGTAGCATGAGTTTGATCCCCGGCCTGGGAGCTAACCCACATGGCACAGCAGACCTCTCTTGTCTCACCTGCTGCTCCCCTCAACAGTGTATTTCAGTGGATCTGCCTGTTTTGCTCCCCACTCTGTCTCTGGTGAATCCCCTCATGCCCCCACACCTCTGGCCTACACCCCAGTTCTTGTATGCATAAATAAATAAATATAAATCTTTAAAAAAAAAACCCAAAACTTAACAGTAGTCCTTTGGTATCTCCAGGAGATTGGTTTCAGAACCCCCATACCAAAATCCAGATGCTCAAGTCCCTTTCAATTGGTGGGTTCTGCATTCATGGATTCAACAACTGACATCAACAATTGGTTGAATCTGTGACTGTGGAAACTGCAGGTAGGAAAAAAAAAATCCACATATAAGGGGACCCATGGATTCAGGTAGTTGAAACCCATGTTGTTCAAGGGTCAACTCTACACTGACATGGATCCCTCAGAGAGTGAAACCCTTTGAACTGTAGCAGTTGTGGGGGATTCCCAGGATATCTGCCAGCTCCTCAAATATACACTACAGGGAAGGATGCTGGTCAATTCACCTGTCTGCCTACAAGTACCCATTCATGACTTCATTTGTTCATTAAGAAAAGACTATCAGGCTCTTATTGCATGCCAGCAATCCTCAAAACAAAAATCCTTGACCTAGGGAGGTTATATTTGAGCATAGGGCAGAATCAGTAATAAAATATATAGCCTGTCAGATGATGACAAATGGAGAAACACAAAGAACTCCCTTTCAAGGGAGGTTGGTAAACAGATCTACACAACTGCAGAGGAAATGATCTTGGTTTACACAAACCAGTTACATTCTCTATGAAATATGAAGGTGCAGAAATAGGAAGGGGTAGTCAGTGATTGCCAGGAAATCCAACATCATGAAATGAAAAAGCCAAGTTGACTAAACAGAACAACATGGCGTGGAGGTGACAGACTATTCAAGGAACAGAACATCAAAATTCTAATTGCTATTCTCCCTTCCCCTGCTCCTCAGAGGAAAAAGAAAAAGAAAAGGGATTATATGTATAAAATAAACTCTGGCTATTACGAAAAAGAAAGAAAAATAGCAAGAAAATGTTTTGCCAATTTTAAATACTACATTAAGGCTGAAAATAAGATATCCAGAATTAGAAAAGGCATGGCTGAAGACCAAGTTGGTAAGCTAGATGATAAAGCTGAGGATATTACCAAGAAAGTAGAAAAAAAAAGCAAAGAGAAAATAGGAAAGAAATGTTAGAGATATGGAGGAACAATGATACAAAAGTTCAACAGTCATCTGGTGGGAGTTTCAGAAGAACTAGGAAAAAAAAGACAAAAGAAGGGAAGGAATTGTAAAATCATAAGGAAAGTTCTCCTAAAGTTGAAGAAAGTGATGAATTGCTTCTGAAAGAACCCAGTGGATGTTAAGCAGAATGAATAAAAAAGACTTAAAAGTAGGCACATACAAGTGAAATTTCAGAACTCCAGGGGAAACGAGAATCCTAAGAGTCTCTAGGAAGAAAAAAAAAGTTATTTATAAAGGAACAAAAATCAAATCAGCCAGCATCAGTCACTAGATTATAATCAGAACATGTGTATGTGTATATGGTCAAATAATTGTAAATGCTGGGTGATAAGCTTTAACTTTTCCTAATCATTCTATATACAAAACAAAATATAATGACATAAAATTTACAAAGCTCAAGCCTGTAAAAATAATGGAATAAACTATATTGGAGACAGAAGAGGAAGGAGGGCTGATAGGCAGAGTGAGTATAGAACTGCCCTCACCTTTTTTTTTTTTTTAAAAGATTTATTTATTTATACAAGAACCAGGGTACAGGCCAGATCTGTGGGAGGGTGAGAGGATTCACCAGAGACAAAGCGGGGAACACTGCCCTCATCTTTTCTAACAGAGAATTAAAAATATCTAAGAAGATGAATCAAAAATAAAAATGCATGTACATGAGTGTTTTTTGACCCTGGCTGCACATTAGAATGACCTCAGTGCTTAAAAAAATATACTAATGCTTGGGTCCCACCCCAGATGAATTCAACCAGAATCATAGGCTGTGACCTGGACAGCTGCATATTTTAGAAGTTCCCTAGGTGACTAATGTTCAGCCAAGACTGACAACCACTTTAATTAAAGCATAATGACAACAACCAGAAGAATGAAAAAACAAACAACTAAATGCAACTGTTCTTGGGGACAAGAACAAGGAACTTTTAAACTGCTTATTTTTTTTTTTTTAGGGCAGGGAAAAAAGGAAGAAGGAATCTAACTTGGGACAAGAAAAGGGTTTCTTAACTTCTACACTACTAACATTTGAAATCAGAGAATTCTCTGTTGTGGGAAGTTGTCTTCTGCATTATAGCTGGTCAGCAGCATCCCTTGCTTCTGAGACCCACTAAATGGCAACAGCACCCCTCATAGTTATAACAACCAAAAATACCACGAGTCGCTGCCAAATGTTCCCTGGAGGGCAAAACAGTCCAGAGTTGAGAACCTGGGTTGGACTAGAAGAATAATCCTGTGTTTTAGTCAAGCAGATGGTTGAACTACAAAAACATCTCAAAGATTTGGGCTGGGATTATTGTACACCATGTAAATTAAAGTGCATTTATTCAGTGCTAGGCCTTTAATTAGGATTAAACGTATAAATTTTAATTAGAACTCCAGAAGGGAATGCATCAGGCCTTTCCTTATGGATGCCGTAAGCTTTGGGATCTACTTTCATTATTAGAATAACAAAATGTCAGAGCAATAGAGCAATTAGGCCTTTATTAAAAAAAGTTGCAGGACCTTCTGGCAAGTAGCCAGGATCTTGCTAATTTCTTTTAAGCTTAAGAAAACACTTCTCTCACACTGAACAAAACAGGGGAGATTTAGCCAAACATAAGCCTGGACCGTAGGCCCAAGTTCATTTTAGTACAGCAAATATTTGAGCACCTATTGCATGTGCTGGGGATAAGAGTGGTAAAACAAAGATCAAATTTCTTAAATTTTGTACAAATAATCAGAGCAGAAATACATTTTTCAAGAGAGAGAGTTTTGCTTTCTACACTTGACAGTATTGTGTGGAAATGCAGTTTTCTTGCAATGTCCAAACGGTAGCCACAAGACACCTCACTAGTGAGTCCTTAAAAAATGGTTAGTCTCAAGTGAGATGTGCTGTAAATGTGAAACACACACTGGATTTCAAAAATATATAATGAAAAAAATAAGGTAAAATATCACATCACATTTTCCAATTCCATTTTGAAATGATAATATTTTGGGTTACTGGTTTAAATAAAATGTATCATTAAAATTAACTTTTAGGTTTTTTTTTTTAATGTGACTACTAGAAAACTTAAAAGTCACATATGTGTTTTATATTTGTGATTCATTTTATTTCTATTGGATAGTGCTGTCCTAAATTCTTGACTTTTATGTGGCACCAATGTTAATAATTATAACATTTTCTTTTACATATTTGGGGATTTTCTCTATATTGCCACTCAGTGGGGGCGAGTTTCTGCTATGAGGGTGGTTAGATGGGAGCATTTGCAGCATGGTGAACTGAAGTTAAGTATAGGTCACTTAAATTCATTCCTGGCTTAGTCATATACTGTGTAATCTTTGTTGTTACTTAACCTCTCTGAGCCTCAGTTCACCTATCTGTAAAGTGGGGATAATGCCATCTTACGTATACACAGCTTGTTTGCATTCACAGTAATGCTATAAATGACTCATTGAATCTATTTTTGAACCTTAAATAGAAAATCTCTTGAAGCTCTTTGCTTTCATGCTGCTTTTTAATTCTCAACATTGAGTTTTTCAGCCATAATCATAGTCTCAATTGCCTGTGGGGTAAATCAACCAACTTTCAATCTATAGAAAGGTTCTCTTTTGGCTGCCTCACAGCTAGAGAACCAATTGGGGGCAAGCAGGTGAGGGCTGGACCACATGAAGCTATCTAGACATAAGGCTGAAAGAGGCTTTTCTTTTTACATCCTTAAGGACAGCAATTATTCCTCACAGTGGTATTGTGTGTTTCTCACATGGAATGCATTCAACACATAGTGTTGAATAGTATATATTCAACAATATACCACAATATAGTGTATATTCAACAATAGTGTATAGTGTTTGATACTGTATTGAAAACAGTATCAAAGAGCTTATATTTGGAGTTTATTTAGTTCACTTAGCAAGCTACCCAGTTGACCAAGTATAGAAATTATTTACTGGTAGAATTCACAATGGATTATAAACTTTTCCCACTCCTGCCATTTTTCTGTAAATAAAATATTTACTATATTAAATAAGAGTGATATATCATTTCTTTACTCATCCCTTTAGTCATCTACATATAAAATGTATTGTGAATGTTTGCTATATTGAAAACAAATCTACTGAAGGGAAGAGATTTTAGAAAATCATGTACAGATCAGAACCTTTAAACTGTTAATTTCACTTTACCAATGATCTAGTTCTGCTCTTTTTCTACTTTAACTATAGGCTTCAAATCCAAAACTGCCCTCAACCTACAAATTTAGCGATGTAATAATTACAGGTGAAAACATCAATTTTGTAGCTTAGTTCCTCTTTTACATGAGTGCTTATTTCAAGTTTGCTGTGGTCATCATGGAAATATTCTGTGTTGCTACAGGGGTGGAGAGTATGTTCTTTCATTCACTTAACAAGTATTTTTCAAACATCTATTCTGCACCAGCACCATGGTTAGTAGTCATTACTTTCAGGTTATCAGTTTTTAATGCTATTTTAGATCTTCCAAAAGACATGTTACTTTAAGTCACATCAAGTCAAGAAAACATCTATTCTTCTAGCTTGAGTCAAGAGCAGAATATTAGGTGCTATAGAATCTCAGGCTGGTGCTCAGTCTCCTGCTAACATTTTAGCAAATGTCTGACAGTGAGGCATTGTTATGTAAATATAGCACAGCTCGATGGTTAAACATCCTGGTTGTGGAACCAGAAAGACCAGTGGTAAATCCTGGCTCTGCCACTAACTGGCTGTGTTACTTTAGAAAAGTTAACCTTTGTGTACCTCAGATTGCTCATTTGATAAAGTGGAAACTAATAATAGTATACACCTCATAGCATTGTAGTGAGGCTTAGATGAGGTGATGCGTGTAAAGCGCAGAGATCAGTGTTGGCATTTACTAACTGCGCAAGAAATGTTAGCTATTAAGGAATAACCCTGATGATAGCAATGGCAGTCATTTCTTGGGTCAAGATGCTTCCTTATTTAGCTGAATTACCTAAAATACATAGAAGCAACAAGGCTTTTTTTTTTTTTTTTTCATATACGGGTGTTAAATAAAAATGAGTTAATTTTAAAGATCTGCTGGGCTTTATTTGATGATCTGTGAACTGGGCTACCTGCCAGGTAGCACATAAGAGAGTTCTCAAAAACAGTACATAATGAAAGGCTTTTATAGGTAGAAAGAAGGCAAGATAAAGGAAAAAGAAATTATCTCTGGCTTGGGTAACATACTTATGGGAAACAGAAAGGTCATGTGGCAGAATATCTTTCCTTTGGGGAATGGAAAAGATTACCTCAGTAGTGCTGACCAGAAAATTCCATATTGACCAGCAAGACTAGATTCCTTAACTACAGTTAAGTGAGGTATCTTGGTGGTCTCAGCACCAGGGCTGCCACAGTCAGTTTCCTTTAACATTGGTTAATAGTGTCAAACAAAAAATGTTTCAAGATTCAGTTGTTTAAAGTGTTTTTGAAACATTAATCCATTTCAAAGATTTAGATGAAATATACTTTAACATTTTTTATATGTTCTGAATTCCTATAGGATTTGGGAGTCTTACAATACCTATTGACCAAAGTGTTATTGTACATAGCAAAAGTTTCATAAAATTTATATAAGCACAGGATGAAATTTAAATATATATTTAGCTAAATGCCTCCTAATCCAATCCTGTTTCTTTCTCCTAAAAGTATAATGCTAACAAAATCAGTTAATTCAAAGTGCCTGACAGTTGGTTTCTGTTTTACTGTCTTCTAATAGCTAATTTTGCTTATTAATTGTGTAGAAAATAAATTTACCAGATCCAAAAAATGTTTGTTGATAAAAGGAATTATAAGTAGTTTCTAAAAAATTAAATATTTTCATATTATATTAATAAGAATTTTACTCACAATTGCCACAGGGTCATTGCTTCGGGTTGCAGCCAGACTGAACTTCTTTACATGAGTGTTGGTCTCCAGAGCCTTTGCGAATTCCTTCAGGGTTGGAATTGGAATATTCTAAGATGAGGAAGACACAGAGAGCTGATGATCCATTTTGAAGTATCCTACCCCAAGCTTTTTGAATATTTTATATATTTAGATGGCAAATTGTATGGTATCCTCTAAAAGATATTCAACACCCATTCTCCAGCAACCAAGTTACCCTGCGTCAATAGCACCACTCAGTGTCCAACCCAGGAAGATAAAACAATATGACATTCTGATCTGTTTGCCCTAACAAGAAATTATGCACACGCCACATTTCCCTATTTTTCTCTCTCATTCTCCATAGTCTAGCAAGACTTGCTATTCTTTTACTATACCATGATCTTTTTCTTCCCTTCATTGCTTTAGATACATTTTCCCCTTTATCTAGCAATCCTTCTGTTCTTTTCTTTGATGAATTCCTATTCATATTTTAAGATCCAGCTAAAGTATGACATCACCTTTATTACTGGCTTTTCCTTACTGACAATTCCATAACATTTAGGGGTTTATCACATGTTGTAATTATCTGTTTAGTGTTTTTCTCTAATACAAGTTCTTCAGAATAAAGACCAAATAAATCTTACTTCCTCTCTTATATGACTCAGCACAGTACTGGGGAGGTACTGGGTATTGGGGTATACTGGGGAGGGAGACAATATGGGGCACAGGTAGAGACTGACTTGAGATCTTGATGCACTAGAGACTAGCTGTGTCCATGGGGACCTTAACCTCTTTAAAGTCCACTAAGGAGTAAATGAGATAATGAATTTCAAGGATTTAGCAAAGGATATGGAACACAGTGAGTTTCATGAACAGAAGAGGTATTAAACAATGCCCCACACACCACACCCTCTCCCTTTGAGAGAGTAACATGACTTATTGCCAAATAGAATAAAGTGGACATGACAATGTGAGACTTCAGAGACTAGAACATGAAAGGCACAGTGGCTTCCTGCTTACTTGCTCTTTTCTGTCTGTATCATTTACTCTGGGGAAGTCAGCTGTGATGACATGAGGACACTCAGGCAGCCCTATGGTGAGGCCCATGTGGTAAGAAACTGAGGCTTCCTGTCAAAAGTCACATAAAGGCACCATCTTGGAAGTGAATCCTCCTGCCCCAGTCAAGCCTTCAGAAGAGAGCAGCCTGCCTGATTACTTCACTACAGCCTCATTTGAGATGGCAAACTACAACTAACCAGCTAAGTCACCTCTCAATTCCTGTCACTCAGAAATTGTTGTAAAATTATAAAAGTTTATTGGTTTAAGCCTCTAAGTTTTAGAACAATTTGTTATTTAGTAATAGATAACTAATCTATTATATCTAACACAGTACTGTGAGTCTTAAATAATTCTAGAAATCATTTTTTTTCAAATATTATTCTTTTAAATAGGATATCTCTCCTCAAAACCAGCCTCAAAGGCTTCTAAATCATTGACACAAAGAATTGCACACAAGTGTGAAAACATTAAGTTTTTTGTTGGGTTTGTGTGTGTGTGTGTGTGTGTGTGTGTGTGCGCAGAAGAAACGAGGTGTAGCAGAGGTATATGGGGGGGGAGGGTGTGAGGATTCACCAGAGACAGAGTGGAGAACAGAAGAGGCAGATCTACTAAAATACACTGCTGAGGGGAGCAGAGGGTGACATAGGAGAGGTCTGCTGTGCCATGTGGGTTAGCTCCCAGGCAGGGGATCTAACTCAGACCACCACCGCAGTGAGCTGTCTTGGTGTTAGTGCTGATACTTAACCCCTAGGCCACCAGGGAGGCCCCATTAAGTTTTTTTACCTACTTTAAATCAAGATAAATCAAGTGACTGACAACAGTCCTAATGAAATACCTTAATGTTGTTGAGGTTGACTTCTTGCAGGCTGGGATCGTTGGCTTTCATCTGCTGCAGACTTACTTCCACATTTGTGGGATTAGGTGGTTCCTCAAATATTGGCTTTACCTTTTCACCTTTTACCACATCTAAGAAACAAGTTCAAATATGAAAAGAAAATGTTAGAGTTCTCCTGTCAGAATTGGAGATGCCTTTTCTGCAAATGACCTTTCTTTTATATGCTGATACTGAAAATACTCTAATACCGGCTGATATGATACAAGTATCTATCAGTATATATACACCAAAAATACTCTAATACCAGTAAAAGTTTATCTTCAACTATGCAAGCATGGAAATTGTATGGTTCGGATTACAAAGGTTGATGGTTCTGAGTTGCAATGACAAGTCTCAGTAGCTGACACTGAATGGAGTCAAAAGCACAGGAGGCCCTACGGCAAACTCCTACCCCAAAAAGAACATTCATGGGCAGCTACTGCTGTTCATAAGGACCTCTTTAAATAGCTACAAAAACTAAACCATAGAATCTGAGATATAAAAATGAAATGAGTCGCTTCATTTCCCAGACCTTAATATTGCTCTCGCCACTTGACCATGAACCATTTTTTTTCTGATACCATTTTAGAGCTTTAGCTTGAGGAAGGCATAGGATAAGAAAGAAGTGGAAAAGAAGAGTGGAAGAATTCTGAAAAGCAAGTAACAAAAAATATTTTTTATATGTGTGTGTGTATCTCTATATCACTCCAAAGTATGTAATATAAAGAACTCTTAAAAATCAACAAGAAAACAACCTGATTAAAATATGGGTCAAACACCTTAGCAGACATCTCACCAAAGATGATATAGAGATGACAAATAAGCATATAAAAAGATGTTCCAGATCATATATCATTAGGGAAATACAAATGAAAACAATGAAATAACACTATATTCCTATCAGAATGACCAAAATCTGGAACACTGAAAAAGCAAATGCTGGTGAGGATGTGGAGCAACAGAAATTCTCAGTCTTTGCTAGTGGGAATACAAAAATGGTGTGGCCAGCTTGAAATACTGTTTGTGGTTTCTTATCAATCTAATATGCTCGTACTATAACTTCTAGCAATCATGTTCCTTGATATTTAACCAGAGGAGTTGAGAATATATGTTCTCACAGATACCTTCACAGGAATGCCTATAGCAGCCTTATTCATAATTTACCAAATTTGGAGGAAACCAAGAAGTTCTGTAGCAGGTGACTGGATAAATAAACTGTGAAGCATCTTTATAATGGAATATTTTTCAGCACTAAAGAAAAATGAGCTCAAGTCAGGAAAAGACATGGAGGAGAAATCTTATATGCATATTGCTAAGTGAAAGAAGGCAGTCTGAGAAAGTTACACACTGTATGATTCCAATTATATTCTGGAAAAGACAAAACTGTGGAGAAAGTAAAATATCAGTGGTTGCCAGGGGTTAGAGGAGAATGGGAGATGAGAAGGCAGAACACAGGGATTACAGGGCAGTGAAACAGCTCTCCATGATACTGTAATGGTGGATACATGCTATGAAACATATTTTTTAAAGATTTATTTTATTTATTTATGCATATAAGAGCTGGGGTGTAGGCCAGAGGTGCAGGGAGGAAGGTGGAGATGATTCACCAGAGACAGAGTGAGCAGAATAGGCAGATTGACTGAAATATACTGTTGAGGGAGCAGCGGGCAAGACAGAAGAGATCTGCTGCACCATGTAGGTTAGATCCCTGGCCAGAGATTGAACTCCTGCTGCAGTGGCTGTGGCTAGCTTCATAGTGCTGAGACTTAACCCCTTGTGCCATCAAGGAGGCACATGTTATTGGACATTTGTATAACCTATTGGTTATACAACCCTCGAGCGTAGCCTAATGCAAACTATGGACTTAGGGTGATAATGAGGTGTCCTTGGAGGTGTCCCTGTAACTTATGTTCCCCTCTGCTGCATGATATTGACAATTGGGAAGGCTGTGTATGTGTAGGGGCAGAGGACATATACAGAAACTCTGTTTTCCTCTCAATTGTGCTGTGAACCTAAAAATTCTCTAAGAAAATTAAGTTTTTTAAAAAGTTAATGATAGGTGTGTATGTATAAAAGCACAGAAGTTTTACACTAGACTTTAGTAGCCAACACATGCCAGAATGTTACCGTTTGCTATTAAAGTTAAAATTGATGAATATTTTTCACTGGTATGTATAAGAAACCAGAAAGAAAATTAAAGGGATAATGTTAAGAGTAAATTATGCTATATAATTATAATTATAGTTTAAAAATATGCTGCCGAGAAAAGAAAGCAACTTCCAAGTGTCCATCAAAGAGAATAAAATACAATTAATCTAAAAGAAGCTGTGATGTTCTGTATTTTCTCAGCACCTGGATCACACCATATGTATGTAAATTACCTGATGACTGGCCGTTTTCTATCACAGACAGATAAGTTCTATTGGGCAGGGACCACTTTTATCTTTGTACTTAAGTTCAGAACATTCCTGACACCCAGTAGGTATTTGCTAGATGACAGATGAATGAGTAAGTGATGTCTCACTAATGAGCTATACACTTCCCCAGAAAATGCTGACATAGAAGGCAGTCTGGAACTTTCTGTGTAAATATGCCACTGTGCTTTTCATGTTCTCTGGGGTAGTGGGTGTTCAAAGTCTAATGATAAGCATCCATTACTGAGATGGAAAAGTTACTTGAATAGAGACGAGAACTAATCTAAAACACTAAAGTTGATCAAATCATTGTTAGGAACATGAAATTGTGCTTGCATTCTGTGCTGACCATGTAACTTTTTATCAGAGATTTTATCTTTTGACTGAACAGACCTACTAAGAGCATTTCTTGGGCAAAACACACTGATTGGTACTCGTCCAACAGGGATGCCATTATAAGTTACTCTAGTCTGGTTTGCTTGCTCAGAGTTCAATAGTCCTTGGTGAACTAAGAAAATCCACCCTCTGCGTGTGAAAGACAGAAGTCTGGACTCACCAGAAGGCCCAGTCAACAACTCTCTCTCTTACCAGTACACCTGGAGGTTCTCAAGTTCCATAAAACCACAGATTTTATATCAACTTACTTCTTATAGGTCCTTTGCCGCCTTTTGCACTGGGCATTTCTTCATCAAACTTTGGGTTATTGAGCAAATTGTGTACTCCAAGAACAGCTGCAAACAAAGATAACCAATAAGTAATGTTTGGAAAAGCATGTTAGGTTGTCCACATTGTTAATTTGTCCTTTAAAGAATAATTCTTTTTTTAAAAAGATTTATTTTATTTATGCACACAAAAGCTGGGGTACAGGCCAGAGATGTGGGGTGGGGGAGAAGATTCATCAGAGACAGAGTGGGGAACAGAACAGGCAAACTGACTGAAATACACTGCCTAGGGGAGCAGCAGGCGAGTCAGGAGAGGTCTGCCGCGCCATGTGGGAATCTCCCTGGCCGGCTGGGTATCGAACCCTTGCTGCAGAGGCTGTGGATTGCCGCACAGCACTGTGCTTAACCCCTTGTGCCACCAGGGAGGCCCCAAAAGAACAATTCTTCATATTATGAGTATGTCTCCAGATCCTACCTTCCTAAAACAGTGCAAGGCACTTGTGTAGTGTTAAACAAGCTTTCTTAAAAAACCCTCCTTCTGAGACCACTAGCAATCTCCTATATTAAACATGTGGAAGCATTTAGGAAATAAGGGACAACGGTCTAATTATGTCCTCAAATTACTGTAACTTGCTTAGACTTCCTATTTATATAGAATTACTCCCTTCAGTTTTCTCATCTCTAAAATATGAAGGTAGTCTTGACTCTAAAGATACTTTAAGATCTAACTTTTTTTCTTTTTAAAGATTTATTTATTTATGCATACAAGAAATGGGGGTGCTGGGTGGGGTGAGAGGATTCACCAGAGACAGAGTAGGGAGCAGAACAGGCAGACTGACTGAAATACACTGCTGAGGGGAGCAGTGGGCGAGTCAGGAGAGGTCTACTGTGCCATGTGGGTAGCTCCCTGGCCGGGGATCGAACTTACGCTGCAGCGGCTGCGGATAGCCCTACAGGCTGTGTCTTCACTCCTTGTGCCACGAGGGAGGCCCTTTTCAAGATCTAACTTTTTATAGATTATGACATGTGTTTTCCCAGAGGCAAGTATCAGCAAGATCTAGGATCTTTTTTGCTGTAAGCCTCATCTCTCCCATTTCTCAGAACCAAAAGAAATTGTCCTTACCCATCTAGAGTACCCCAAGGTGGGAAATAACAGAAGAGGTGTCAGCAATAAAAACTTGAAGACTACTGTCTGAGTCTCCTGTAGTACCTGGAACTTGCAGCAGGAGGCAGCACAGTACGCAAATAGCAGCCCCACAGTGCCCATACTGCTTTGCCTATGTTGATGAAACTATAGGTGAGATTGGCCTCCTGGAGCAGGATCCCAGAATAATCTGTCAACAGGTGGCAGAGGAGGCCTCTAAACTCATCAGCTATAAACTGTAATCTACAAATAAGAGGGAGGCAGGCTATACAGTTTGAGAGAGCAAACGCTTAAGCCAGCAAGTCTAGGATGTGAGTGCCACCGGGGAACACTAACATATGATGTGCTACGCGAGTGACTTGGGAAGTTACTAAGTGCCTCTGAGCCTCAGTTTCCTCATCTATAAAATAATTATATTTTACGTTTTACAAAGATTAAACAACTTTCTATGTCAGACACTGTTTTAAGTTCTTTACAACGTCTTATTAAATAACAAATTCTTAATAAATAAGAATTTATCACTGTTTCCTGCACTATCTAGGGAAAAGATGCCTTATTTGATAACCACAGGTCACTGAAACCATCCAACCTATCTGTCTTTGGCTCTGTACTCACTGAGCACTTCGAATCATAATTAGCTCAATGTCAAGTTTTTTTTTTTAAAGATTTATTTATTTATACAAGAACTGGGGTACAGGCCAGATGTGCGGGAGGTGAGAGGGCTCACCAGAGACAGAGCGGGGAATAGAACAGGTAGACTGACTGAAATACACTGCTGAGGGGAGCAATGGGCGAGACAGGTGAGGTCTGCCATGCCATGTGGGTATCTCGCCAGCTGTCCAGGATTGAACCCACACTGCAGAGGCTGTGGACAGCTTCACAGTGTCGCCCTCAACCGCCTGTGCCATCAGGGAGGCCCAAGTTTTTTTTTTTTAAAGATTTATTTATTTATGCATACAAGAGCTGGGGTGTAGGCCAGAAGTGTGGGGAAGTGAGAGGATTCACCAGAGACAGAGTAGGGAGCAGAATGGACAGATGGAAATACACTGCTGAGGGGAGCAACAGGCAAGACAGGAGAGGTCTGCTGTGCCATGCGGGTCACCTCCCTGGCCAGGGATCGAACTCATGCGGCAGTGGCTGCAGATAGTTTCGTAGTGCTGCGACTTAGCCCCTTGCGCCAGAAGGGAGGCCTCCTGATGTCAAGTTTTAATTTTCATTTCATCTCCTTCTTGTGAATCTGGCTAGTTGATCAGTCATTTACAGCCTGGCCCCAATCTGACAGCTATAATATGCATCATTGTCAGGATCAAATCTCTACACCAGCAGAGCTGAGACCAGACTTTGGGTGGTAACCACAAGGTTCTGTCTTACAGGCCATCTGCTGCTCCCTTAATGAACTGCCTGTCTTTCTGCTCTTGATCTGCCACGATGACATTTCTTGTCTAAATCTCGATGGCTATCGACTCACCTACTCACAGGGCTGTTCCAGATCTTTCAGAAAGATCCATCCTAGAGAAGATGCCACCATCCCCGCTTCCCTCTTCCTCCCACTTCCTCCTGAGTTCAGAGGATGGGGGAGAGAAGGGCTTAGTAAAGGTGAGTAAGACAGTTTCCTAAGGGATTGTCCCCCTGGTTGTTTTATGTTTGTTTGCTTTTGGTATGAATTTTAGGATCTATCCTCTCTCAAGTGATCAGTGCTTTTTTTCTTTCTCCTTACACCTTATATATTTCCTGGCAATTCAAGCCCAGCCCAGCCCTGAATTCTCCCTTTGGGCACTTTCAGAACAGATCATGAGGCAGCCCTTGGGAGGAGAAGTAACCATAGTTAGGATCCCTCCACAGCAACCACAGGGCTAAGATTCGATCATCACAAATCACCTTCTTAGCTGTGTGACTCAGGCACCATCTTTGTTTTATTTTTTTTAAGATTTATTTATTTATGCACACAAGAGCTAGGGTATAGGTCAGAGGTGTGGGGGATGAGAGGATTCACCAGAGACAGAGTGGGGAGCAGAATAGGCAGATTGACTGAAATACATTGCTGAGCAGCGGGTGAGACAGGAGAGATTTGCTGAGCCATGTGGGTCATCTCCCTGGCTGGGATCTATCTAGTGCTGCAGTGGCTGGTGATAGCTTCATAGTGCTGAGACTTAACCCCTTGTGCTACCAGGGAGGACCCTATTTTGCTGCTATTGTTAGGAAAACTAGGAAAAATGAGCAGATTGAGCTGAATATGGCTTTACCTTAGTGAGTGAATGTAACACTAAGTCACTCCTGCTCCAACGTCAGGCTAACAGACCTCTTAGTGGGAAGAAATTGAACAGTGACTACATGGAAAAGCAAGAACTTCAAGAAAATTTTGTGATGACATGTGGTAAAATGTCATATGTGAAAGCCCCTAGGAAGCCTAAAGGCTATTATTTTAAGTTCTCAATACTCTTTCATATTTATTCTGTTTGATTTCCCATCTAACTCTTGAGTTTTGTAGGATGGGCATGATTTGGGCATTTTATACAGAGATATGGTTTTACAGTCTACAGCTAAAGTACAGCAAAATCATGTTTGCTTAGAGAGAGTAAGTCACCTGCATCAAGTCTTATAGCTACACAGTGGCTCAACTCACTTGTAATAATAGATAGTATGGAAATGCTCAAAGGCCGCTGCCATGGGTGCCAGCATTGCCTGGAGGTCACAGAGCCACACAGGAAAGTTCGCCAGAGCTGAGAACCAACCTGCAAGATCGTAGAGTTCTGTGTCAGAGGCGCTGGCCAAGGCTTCCTCCAGTTCTGGGTCGAGGGTTACTTTTTCTTCTACGGGCTTTCTCTCTATTGGTTTTTCTTTGGGGATAAAGACTCTCCCTTTAAAATCAGAAGAAAAACAAAAACCATTATGTACTGCCGCCTAATTGTAGGGTAAGGGCACTGACCAGAGATTGTAGCTCTGGCCGTTTGGGGCTATGTCATTAAGCTACCGAACATCCAATTGGGAGTCCCTAATTGCCGGGATAATATTACTGTCAATAATCTGTGAAAGGAAGGTTACAGGAGGAGCGCTGCATTCTGCATCACAGAAATCTGAGATGGTGCTTGTCCTTAACCAGAAAGGGAAACTCAGATTTGGGCAAGAGGGGCCTCTGCTGCACTCACCTCCCACCCCCCACCTACCAATGGAGCAGTCACGGGCCAACGGAGCATTCCCATCCAGAGCACAGACACCTGCTTAGACTACACTCCAGCTAGCTGGGGCCCTGGAATTTCCAGCCCAAACACCCCCAGCCTGCTTCCCTGGGGTGCATAAATTCCTTTACCAGGCCCACCCTCCTAAACGCAGGTCAGGTCGCACTGTGTGGGTGGCAGTTTATGGGTGGGCGTGGAAAACCTGTGGGGCTTAGAGCACATGGCATTTGGAGCAGAGGTTATATAGGGCCCCCTCCAGAAGACCTTCCACTGCTCTAAGCTCATCCATTGGTCCTTCTGGGGCCCGGTAGACTCCCCACTCTGATCTCTGGAAAATATGCTCCCTGCTCATTTGTGTTGCTTTTCAACCTTCTCTAATCAATATTGTGCAATTATATACCCCATCTATTCCTCAAACAGCTCCTGCATTCCTAACTCCCCCATGAACCATCTGCAGATTAATATGAATCAAGAGATAACTTACATAGCTGCTGTTCCAATCTCTCTCTGAGAAGACAACAGCTTCCCCCGTTAATGTCAGTATATAGTGGGACTTTAGTGAAGATTTGACTTATAATTTATTTCTTCTTTCACAATTATATTAGTCCAATAGCAACCATGCTGCCATAGAAACAATTCCATGTTCTATGGTAATCCTTGGTTATTTGCCCAATTTGTCATTGTTCACTTTTATTTTCTACACTTGATCTTAGCCAAAAGGCCAAGAAGTGATCGCTTTTATTTTCATACTAAAATGACATCACCAATGGCACATGAGTCACTGAATGCGCACAATTCAGAGGAGAGCCAGGATGCTGTGTAAGGGACGCAGCAGTGCTATGAGATATGGCACCAGGAACGGCACACCTGCTCCCCGGGCCATGGTACAGGAGCTCAGAGATGGCATTTATTTGAACCCATATTTATCAAGTACCTCCCCTTCTGGCAGTGTCTGTGCCAAGATGCCAGAGAGACAAGGCTCCACCTTGGAGATCGTGACTTAATGTGGAAAACACCCCAAATCCAATGTAAATAAATAGCGATAGTGTAGTCACAGAGCTATGAAAGCAGTGAACAAGCATGACGACAGTAAGGAGGGTCTATTTCAGATAGAGAGGTTGGGGAAACCTGAGCCCCTGCTCCTTAAGCTGAGATTTCTAAAATGTGGAAAATGGGGGTGTGGGTTCAAGGGAAGGGTCCATGAGAAGACTTTGAGACGGGAAAAGAACGTGGCAGGATTGGGGAGTTAAATGAAGACCGTGGGACGGACTGAGCTGGGGGAGGAGAGGTATAGGCAGAGTGGAGGGTGGGGCTGGCTCTCCCAGGCTGAGGACCCCAGCAAGGATTTTGGACTTTAAGCAGGGAAGTGACACAATCTAATTTCTGTTTTAAAAAGACTATTGCCATGAGGTTATCAACAATCATTAGCATCTACTGATCCAAGTCCTCATCCGTCACTAAGATGCCTGGACTGGTGATTGATATCTGTGTTTCCTGCAAAGGGGAGCTCAGGGTCAGAGTTCACACCTGGCATGAAGAAACATCTCCTGCTCCTTGGGGAGGGCCTCTGTGGCCTATCACAGGGCTCCTCTCACTCCACAACAAGCTCCTCAGGGCAGGGCAGCATCTCCCTGTGGCGGCAGCGCCAGGCCCATGGCTCTGCAGAGGTGGTGCTAGGGAAATGCTGGATAAATAAAGGACTGCCTGCACTGGCCTCATGGTAGCTTCGAGGGTCTGGTGCAAGGGGCATCCCGGCATGGAGTACAAAGGCCCTGACAGTAACTCACCCAGCAAAGAGAGAAGCACTGGTGCCACTTACACATAGCACTGTTTCACAAGTCCAAAACTTTTTTCTTTGGGGCTAAAGATTTTTTCACAGAACTCACTTAAGTATCATCACACTCTAAGTATACTTTTTTTTTTTTTAAGATTTATTTATTTATGCATACAAGAGCTGGGGTACAAGCCAGAGGTGTGAGGCTGGGGGAAGGTGAGAGGATTCACCAGAGAAAGAGTGGGGAGCAGAACAGGTGGATCTACAGAAATACACTGCTGAGGGGGGCAGCGGGCGAGGCAGGAGAGGTCTGCTGCGCCATGCAGGTCACCTCCCTGGCCGGGGATCCAACTCGTGCTGCAGTGGCTGCAGATAGCTTCAGAGTGCTGCGTCTTAACCCCTTGTGCCACCAGGGAGGCCCCTCTAAGTATACTTTTATTTTATTTTATTTTTAAGATTTATTTATTTATTTACACAAGCACTAGGAACAGTCAGAATCACAGGAGGATGAGAGAATTCACCAGAGCCAGAGCAGAGAGCAGAGCAGGCAGAAGGACCGAAGTACACTGCTGAGGGGAGCAGCGGGCGGCAGGAGAGGTCTGCGTGCCATGTGGGACCCTCCTCCGGTGGCCGGGGAGCAGCCGGGGATCAAACCGGCGCTGCAGAGGCCGCGGGCAGCTTCCCAACCCAGCGCTCAACTGCTGCGCCACCGGGGAGGCCCTAAGTATACTTTTAATTAATCTACATATTCTGCCATTAATCTACATACTCTTTTTCGAAGTAGTGCTAGGTTCACCGAGGAAAGTACAGAGTCCCACATATTCCCAGTGCCCACACTCACAGCCTCCCCCATTATGGCATCCTGCAGAAGACTGGTATAGTAGTTACAATGGCTGAGTCTACATTGACATCATTATCACCCAAAGGTGACAGTTTACATTAGGGTTCGCTCTTGGTAGAGTACCTTCTGTGGGGCTGAGCAAATGCATGACAACATCTCTCTCTCAGCATGCTTCTTTTTCATACTGAATCCAGTTCATGGGCTTATTTCCCTCTTGCAGGTAAGCTCCCTTGCTAGACCCCCCTTGACAATACATTAGGAAAGCCGAAGATGCGCTGCCTGTCGTCCTTACCTTTCTTTTCTCCAGTGAAGGGCACAAAGTCTTCCCTGTCTTTCTGCTCCAAAGCCTCCTTCTCCAGGTACATCAGGAGGTGCTCACGGTCAAAAGGACCGGTGGCTGCCTTCTGAGTCTGGTCTTTCTGTCGGAAACCAGCGGGCAGCAGAGCGCTCTGAAAAGACAGAAGTGAGCAGGAAGAAAGATGTCTGTCCAGTGGATACTCTGTTAACACCCCTTGCTATACCTAGGAGAGGCAGAGAGGATACCTGTGCAGAGAACGGAACGGGGTGAGCTGAAGTCTCCAGCATATTCATGAGGCCCCACTTGCTTTAATAGGCTGTGCTGAGAGAGGGCTCCCAGCAAAAGCAGGCAAAACATAGACAACTTCTGAGTTTTCTGAAACTAGAACGAGGTAGCAAAAGGCCAGACATCTTTCGTGGCCTTTTCCCTCTCAGATGTCACTTAGGCTTGGCTGGGTTTGTACCCAAGGTGTCCCCAGGAGGCAATTGGGGATTCTAACAAGATGCTCTAGTTATATGGTTGTACTATTTTTTTTTTTACAGACACATGATTTCTTTTTTTAAATATATATTTTATTTTATATAATTCTTACATCATTTTTCATTTTTGCACAATGCATGTATTTTCATCTTGGTTATAGTCCCCATACAATTCCCACCCCCCTCATTTTGACCCTAATCTCTCCTTTCCTTCCCCCTCCTGCCCCCCATAGTGTGTCCCTAGTTCATAGTTGCTTGTTGATTTTGATTTTTTCTTTATTATAATTAGTCTTTTTCCTGGTTCCTTATTTAGGTTTTCTATACTCTCTATTTATACCCCATCTCTTGGGGAAACATCCAAGCATGGAAGTGAATGTTGTGGCAAATGTTGATATCTGTTTGACTAAACTTAGGGATGCCTTTCTTACATTTTCTTAAAAGAAAAATGAAGGGCCTCCCCGGTGGCGCAGCGGTTGAGCGCTGGGTTGCGAGGTTGCCCGCGGCCTCTGTGGCGCCGGTTCAATCCCCGGCTGCTCCCCGGCCACCGGAGGAGGATCCCGCATGGTGCGCAGACCTCTCCTGCCGCCCGCTGCTCCCCTCAGCAGTGTACTTCGGTCCTTCTGCCTGCTCTGCTCCCCGCTCTGGCTCTGGTGAATTCTCTCACCCTCCCGCGCTTCTGACTGTACCCAGTGCATGTATAAACAAAACAAACAAACAAATATAATAAATAAATAAATAAAAACATGCCTCTATAAAAAAAAACTATTAAAAAAAATGAATACCATTACTTTAAAAACAATGCAATATTCAAAGTATCTGGCACCTCAGAAAATCATGTAAATAATTTGCAGTGACATTTTTATTTCTATTAAATTCACTATTTTGGATGCTTCTGATTCTAAAGTAAAGTTAATAGCATCAGGGCTGAAGAAACTGCTTACCAATCAAACACTACAACAAGCTATTTAGTTTTCAGCTTATGACATCTAGTTAGACTTGTCTTTCTTCAACCAATGGAAAATATTTGTCTCCATTTATTTTTATTATTTATTTATTTTATTTTTAAAGATTTATTTATTTATTTATACAAGCACTGGGTACAGTCAGAAGCGCAGGAGGGTGAGAGAATTCACCAGAGCCAGAGCGGGGAGCAGAACAGGCAGACTGACAAAGTACACTGCTGAGGGGAGCAGAGGGTGGCAGGAGAGGTCTGTGCGCCATGTGGGACCCTCACTGGCGGCCGGGATCGAACTGGCGCTACAGAGGCTGTGGGCAGCTTCGCAGCCCAGCGCTCAACTGCTGTGCCACCAGGGGAGGCTCTGTCTCCATTTATTTTTAAATTTTAATTTATTTTTATATTCAAAAGGGCAGGTTTATTATAAGAAGGGGAAGGAAGTAAAGGGTGTTTGCACAGACATAAGTGGACAGAAAGCACTGCCTCTGAAAGGGACAGGTTTGTTAGAAGGGAGGCCTGCATATGTGCCTAGCCACTGGTTGGCAGGAGAGCTGCTGCTTTGTCCCCATTTACATTAAACTGAAGCACCATTTGCCATATCATATTACAGATGTGGCTATGGAGGCTCTTCGTGAATTTAAAAGGCAAGTGACCCAGAATCAATCAGGGGAGGAACACACACAGATCTGTGTTCGCTGCTAAGGGACTTCTCAGCCATTGTTTAAGGTCCAAGGTGCACCATTTATCCTGTGCTGTCACTAACCACTCGGCTGTGGGTCCAGGTCACTCACCTCAGGATCTAGGTCATCAAGAACATTTTCCAACTGTTTCAGTTCCTCTTCTGAGAGTTTGCCAAGAAGTTCATCTTCATCAATGTTCTTATATTTCTCCAGCTCTTTTTGAAAAGGAAGTGCCATGGCTTCTTCTATGCCTCTCTCATGGACCATCAATTTATAAACAGGCCAGTTTCCTGAGATCTCAGAATACTACCAATAAGAAAGAAACCCTGTTATTGCCTTTCTGTAAATAGGGCTCATTAACAGGAGACAGGGCTATGCTATCTGCCAGTGGAGTCTTTCTACTGGACAAGTGATTCAACAAATAGGCAACAATCACCTTCATTTGCAGAACCATCTGACTGCTCATCAAGTATCTTCATATATATTATTTCACTTATATAGATCTTTATGATAACCCGTAAAGGAAACCTGGGCATATATTAATATCCCATTTTACAGATGAAGATTCTGAGGTGAAGGTGGTGGCTAAGTGCCTTGCTCAGGCCTCAGAGTTGGGATGTGCCAGGCATTCTATTCTCAGTGTAGTGAGTGCCTTTCCACCATATTACTCTGCCTCCTCCAGCTTTCCACAGAAAACAGTAAAGGACAATGCACTAATTGTAAGGCAGTTGTAAGAAGCATACTTGTGTCTTTTCAGAGAGTGATGAGAAGAATACAAAATGGGGTTCATTCAGAAAAGAGAGTGTGGAATGACATGTGAGAAAGCATTGTCCAGGAACTCCCCTGCAATTTAAGTAAGATTCTAAAATCCTGGCTGCATAATCATTCTGGTCTACTTTTCTCCTCTCTTCTTTCTTCATTTTCCACTCTCTTTTTGTCTCATTTCCTTCTTGTTTCTTTAGCCACACTCCCTAATTCTTTATTCCTTTAGTCCTTTCTACTTTTTATGACCCTTTTCAATATCACCATACTTCTAAACTTCCATGCAAAATGAAATCACTTTTTCCTTGCAGTGGATTTTACAGATCATCCCTAGGAGGATAATAGTGCATTCAGGAAATAGCAATGTACTTAACCAATTGTGTTTCTCTGTAGGAGATATTAACATCAATCAGATCTTCCAAGGCAATTAATATTTGCTGTATACCTACTACCTGCCAGGCATCATTCTAGAAAACAGGAATACACAGATAAATATAACCCCTTCAAAGAGATTACAGCTCAGAGAGACACACAAATAGCAGTAACATCACTAGATAAGTGTTATAACAGAAAAAAAATGCTTAAAGTGAGTTTAAGAGCAACATGAAGACATAATCATGGGATAGGGGAGAGTGAGGTTTGAGGGGAAACTAAAACAGAGGTCTGTTTGTGCCTTGAAGGAAGAGGTGGTAGGCACATGGGGGGCAGGGAGGCTATCCCGGGAAAATGGCACCACTTAAACAAAGCCACAAAGAGAAGAAAGTACTGGATAAACTGGTGAGTAGTTGGTGTGGCCAGAGAGGAGGATGGAAGGTAGGGTGGAAACTGAAGACAAGGAAGGACATCTGTGAATGGTCTTCCATGTATGCCTTGTCAAGGACCTGCACTTTATTCTGTTGGAGATGGGGAGCCGCCACACATTTTTAAAATGGAAGAATGATCTGAGAAGTCCTGTTGTTTGGTAGGGTAATTCAAACAGTAAGAATGAAGAATGGGTTGGCACGGAGAGATATTTGTCATAGGCGGGCCATTTAAGGGCTATTAGAAATGTTCCTTTTCCCTCCTTACGAATTCAACTGCTCACAATGGTCAAGTTGGTGGTTTTTCTATTTAGGTTCCTTTTCCACATACAATGTAACTCTCTCAGCCAACTAAAACTGCAGTAGCTATATTTCAATAAAAAAAAAATCCCACTAAGGTCAAAGAACTAACTGGATCATAATACACTTTGTGCTGGGCTTAGGTAGCACTAATAGTGTGATGCTGGACAAGGATCTTCACCTGTCAGGTCCTTAGCATCAATGTCCTCCATAATGGAGTCTATCATGTACCATTTGCCACATTATTCTGAAGTTGAGTTTTACAACTGATGGTTGACAATTAGTACTAGCCCAGCAGCAGTCAAGATGTACTCATCACCATCTATGTATGGACACATATTAAAAGCACAAGCTTCAAAACTAACAGAAAGGACATCAACAGTAAAATTCCAGGCCTCCCTGGTGGCGCAAGGGGTTAAGCACCACACTATGAAGCAATCTGCAGCCTCTGCAGCTCGAGTTCGATCCCCAGCCTGCCAGGGAGCTACCCACATGGCGAGGCAGACCTCTTCTGTCTCACCCGCTGCTCCCCTCAGCAGGGTATTTCAGTCAGTCTGCCTGTTCTGTTCCCCACTCTGTCTCTGGTGAATCCTCTCAACCCCCACATCTCTGGCCTATACCCCAGCTCTTGTATGCATAAATAAATCTTAAAAAAAAAAAAGCAACCAAGTACAGGCCACAAAACTGCCTTTGGGTAGCTATCAGACATTAGAACTTGAACTATTCTCTGAGTCCCTTGTGTCCCCCCCCACCCCGCCCCAGCTCACAGGTGAACTCTGCTTCCAAGTACTCCTGCAGAGCACACTGCAACCTCAGCCCATGTCCTCCCCGTTAGCTCAGTGCCCATGACCACATTTACACATCTGTAACAGAAGAGAACACATGTTTTTTTCACAGATTTTTTAAAAAGATATAAAAAATGTTATTCCTGTGGGGGAAAAACAGATATTGATGACTATGAGTCAAAATTATTCAGAAGCTTGGAATCTGAACATGAAGATGTTTTAAGAATATTAACCCGTTCATTTGCATTTTCCTTTGTTATGTATACACAGGGTGATACGATTTAAAAAATTATATATAGTCATAGCAGCCTTATTTGAAATAGGCAACAACTGAAAACAATCTGAATATTCATTAGTAGGTGAGTATAGCCATAGTAAAGTGTGTATAGCTACATAATGGAAATACTCAGAAGTAAAAACAAACTCTTGATATACACAACTACATGGATGAACCTCAAAATAATGATACCGAATGAAAGAAGCCAGGCCAAGAGGAATGTATACTGTAGAATTTCGTTTATCTAGAATTACAGAAAATGTAAACTGATCTATATGTCAAAAGTACTTAGGGATGGGAAGAGAGGGGGGCAGAAGGTGGTCTGTGAAGGGGCCTGAGGAAACTGGGGGATCAGACATAATTTCACTCCCTTAATTGCGGTGATGCTTTCACAGGTACATGCATTTGTCAAACTTATCACACTATACACTCAAAATATGAAATTTATTGTGTCAATTAAAAGATTTCAAAAAGGTATTTAAGTCTGAAAAAGCTCTATGGGTAGAGTAAAATTATATTATTAAGAATCCATGTGTTGGGCCTCCCCAGTGGCGCAGTTGGTTGAGCACCCCTCTGTGAAGCTGTTCGCAGCCTCTGCAGCACCAGTTCGATTCCCAGCCAGCCAGGAAGAAACCCACATGGTACAGCAGACCTCTCCTGCCTTGCCCGCTGCTCCCCTCAGCAGTGTCTTCAGTCTGTCTGCCTGTTCTGCTCCCCACTCTGTCTCTGGTGAATTCTCTCACCCTCCTGCGCCTCTGACTGTACCCCGGTTCTTGTATAAATAAATAAATCTTTTTTTTTTTTTTTAAATATTTATTTATTTATTTATACAAGCACTGGGTACAGTCAGAAGCGTGGGAGGGTGAGAGAATTCACCAGAGCCAGGGCGAGGAGCAGAACAGGCAGAAGGACCAAAGTACACTGCTGAGGGGAGCAGCGGGTGGCAGGAGAGGTCTGCGCGCCATGTGGGACCCTCCTCCGGTGGCCGGGGAGCAGCCAGGGATTGAACTGGCGCTGCAGAGGCTGCGGGCAGCTTTGAAACCCAGCGCTCAACCGCTGCGCCACCGGGGAAGCCCAATAAATAAATCTTTTTTTAAAAAAAAAAAAGAATCCATGTGTCATACTTTAATTGGCAGCATTTTTTTCTTAAATTTTATTTATATAAGACCAGGGTACAGGCCAGATGTGTGGGAGGGTGAGAGGACTCACCAGAGACAGAGTGGGGAACAGAACAGGTAGACCGACCGAAATACACTGCTGAGGGGAGCAGTGGGTGAGACAGGAGAGGTCTGCTATGCCATGGGTATCTCCGCGACTGGTGGGGATCGAACTGGCACTGCAGAGGCTGCAGACAGCTCCACAGCGCTGCGCTCAGCCGCCTGCGCCACCGGAGAGGCCCAGCATTTTTTTTCCTTAATGGCGTATAAATAATGACTTATAACTTTGATGATATCTTAGAATTGATACATCTATCAACTATTCTAGTCCGGGATTCTTCAGCTAGACCCCTGTTCAACATCTTCCCCTGAAACAGGTCTGCTCTCCTGATTTCCTAGTCTATCACTTCCTGCACTCAGGCCACCTTCAGATTCTTCCCTTTCTTGCAGATAAGCACGTCCAGCAGATTCTACTCACATTGCACTTTTCACATCATCCCTGCCTATCATTTTTGGATTGAACCTTTGTCCCTTCTGGCCTGGACTACTCTAACTGCATCTTGAAAAGTTTCTATTCTTCCCTCCAAGTCATCCAGGCACCATGAGCTGATTGTCTTTCTTAGCACTGTTAACAAGCCACTTGCCCGGTGAGGACTTACCATGGTTCCCTCTCATCTACAGAATGAAATCCAGAGGGCCAAGCATCCAAAGTTACCATCATCTGGTTTTGACCTGAACTTAATTAATTTCCTGGGAAGCCCTCCACTCCAGTCAAAATGGCTTAGTCACTCTCTGAGGTAGGCAGAATAATGGTCCCCGAAAGATGTCCATATGTTAGCCCCCACAACCTGGGAATGTTACTTTACATGGCAAAAGGGACTGATGTGGCTGAATGAAGTATCTTAAAGTAGGGGGGGCTATCTTGGATTATTAGGTGGGGTCAGTGTCATCATAAAACAAGGCAGAGGGAAGCAGAAGAGTCATAATGAGATGTGATGTCAGAAGCAAAGGGTCAGGCTGATGCAATCTCTGGCTTTGAGGAGAGAGAAGGGGCAGGTGTCAACAGTCAAGAAATGTGGGCGACCTCTAGAAACTGGAAAGGCAAGAAAATGGATTCTCCTCAGGCCTCCAGCGGGAATGCAGCCTTATCAATACATTCAATAAAAGCTGTTTGGAGCTCTAACCTCCAAAACTGTGACAGCAATAAGAAACATACACTCTCTTATCCACATACTTCCATTTTCTAAGATTATTGTATTGGATCTCTTCTTTCTAAAATATTGCTTGTTCCTCTACATATATACTCTCCATCCTGCTCTGGGTCCCATTAAGGTGATCTATTTCACTGCTTCAAAGGGCTGCCCCTCCTTGTTTGGCCAGTAGGAGGTACCAGCAGGGGACTGGAGGTTAGGAGGGGAGGGCAGGAGACAGCAGACCTGTTTCAGGGGAAGATGTTGAGCAGGGGTCTAGCTGAAGAATCCTGGACTAGAATAGTTGATAGATGTATCAATTCTAAGATATCATCAAAGTTATAAGTCATTATTTATACGCCATTAAGGAAAAAAATGCTGGGCCTCCCCGGTGGTGCAGGCGGCTGAGCGCAGCGCTGTGAAGCTGTCTGCAGCCTCTGCACACTCCCATCAGGCAGCCCTCTCCATACAGCTACCCTCTGCTTGCTGATTTCAGGCCTTGAAGTGGCAAAGGCTCCCTATTGTGGCTGGTGCCAAATTTCTGCCTTATTGGATTCCCTAGCTCTCCCGTCGTCGTAAATAGCCTCTTTATTAAAATTCCCTCAAATTATTCAGTTTGAGTGTGTTTTCTGTTTCTTGTTGGGACCTTGGCTGATAAAGTAATATGACTTGGGAAGTCCTTCTGTATTCTCACAGATTTTCCATGTGCTCTGCTTTTGAGAGCTGGCTTGGATTCCAATGCTGCAGGACCACAGGATATCAGAGCTTAATGAGGCCTTCAAGATCATCCTGTCCAGCGACATGGTTGGCTTCCCTGTTACTTCTCTGATTGCTCCTTCTTGGTCTTTGTGGCAATTGTTCTTCTTCCACTTTAAATACTGGCATACTTCCAGGTTCTGTTTTAGAACTGTTTTTCTCATACTATAATTGTACCTGAGGGAACTCACTGCTTCCAAAGTTTAAATTATAAACCATATCCTGAAGACCCCCACATTCAAATCTTTGTCCTAGACTTTGTTCTGAGGGTTAGATCCATAAATTTCCAACTATTGAAGTGACATCTCTGCTTGGCCGCCTCTGACACCTCAAATGTTAGAAGTGTTCTTATTATCTTTTCCTCCAAAATGCTTCACTCTAGAATTTCTGATTTCAGGAGGTTGACCAAGAAACCAGTGAGTCATCTTGATACCTTTCTTTTTTTTTTAAAGATTTATTATTTATTTATTTATTTATATAAGCACTGGGTACAGCCAGAAGCGCGGGAGGATGAGAGAATTCACCAGAGCCAGAACGGGGAGCAGAGCAGGCAGAAGGACCAAAGTACACTGCTGAGGGGAGCAGCGGGCACAGCAGAGAGGTATGTGCGCCATGTGGGACCCTCCTCCAGTGGCCGGGGAGCAGCTGGGGATGGAACCGGCGCTGCAGAGGCTGCAGGCAGCTTCGCAACCCAGCGCTCAGTCGCTGCACCACCAGGGAGGCCCCTTGATACCTTTCTTGTGTCCTCCCATCAATCACCAAATCCTCTCTGAATCTAATCATGTTGATAATATACCTACTTAACTTGCCTGCACTGCCCATAGCCAGCCTTACCCTGTTTGATCCATTCTTTACACAAATGAACAAAGTGTTGGGTTTAAACAATGTTGCTATAGCTTTTCAACATTCTACAGTACTTCCCATGGCTTTGAAGATAAGGTTCAAATTCAGTCTAGCCTCTGTCATCTTTGTCAGCCTCATGGTGCACTGTACTTCCCCTATCCCCCTGGCTCCAGCCTCCTGGACCACCTCCAATTTCTGGATCATGCCTTAAGCTGTTCCCTCTGCTCAGAGCATTTTTATCCCCTCCTCTGGCTGACTGCTCTCTTACTCACCTTCTAGCCTCCATGTAAACTTCAACTCCTCAGGGAAGCCTTCTTTGGACACTAGATAATATCTGGATCACTTCCCAGGCCCCTGACACCCCCTTGATTGCAGTTCTTGATTTTACTACAATTTCTTTTTCTATCTCTGTCTTCCTTGCTAATTTCTGGGAGAGTGGAGGCTGTATCTGTCTTTGTCATTGTTGTAATCCTGGCTCATAACACAGGACTTAACCCAGAGTATGCAGCCAACAAATATTGTGCAACAAAGATCACATGTAGGAAATGAGCTCAGAGAAGTGAAGTGAGTCCATTTCATTGTATTCATTGCCTCCACTGTGTCATGGAACTTTCTGAGGCCACCTAAGCACAAAGAAGTCACTCCTCTTTCTATTTGGCGTTCATCCCTTGCTCTCCAGTTATCACTTCATGTATGTTACATATAGGTTATCTTTCCAACTACACCACAAACTCCTGAGAACAGGGACAATGTCATCTTTCCTTGTATTCCTGGGTTTCTCAAACTAGGTTATTCATTCAGTAAGTATTTGTTGAAAGCCCACCTTTTCTGGACACTTCTGGGACAAAAGCTGTGCACAATACATGATGTCTGGTGACCTAACTGAGCTTACAATTTAGCAGGGAAAGACATTAATTCAATAGCTAAAATTTTATGTTAATACTATGTAACAATACCTGTTAAAACAAATTGCTTGTGCTGGGTCAACATATCAGGGCATCTGAAAGCCACAGGAGAACAGCAACAAAAAAGAATGCATCCTCCTGGAGCACAACTTTGACTTGCAGAGTTAGTGGAAGCTGTTATTTTCCAGTAACAAATATACTACACAGATGTCAAGTCTTTTTTTTAAAGATTTATTTTATTTATGCATACAAGAGCTGGGGTGTTGGCCAGAGGTCCAGGGGTAAGAGGATTCACCAGAGACAGAGTGGGGAACAGAACAGGTGGCTCTCCTGAAATACACTGCTGAGGGGAGCTGCGGGCCAGACAGGAAAGGTCTGCTGCGCCATGTGAGTAGCTCCCTGGCTGGGGATCAAACTCACTGTAGTAGCTGGTGATAGCTTCACAGTGCTGAGACTTAACCCCTTGCCCCACCAGGGAGGCCCCAAAGTCAAGTCTTTTAAAGTCAAGTCTCACTTATAGCTCATAGCTGGCCTGTTTTACCTTCTTGCCCAAGTTCCTGTGTTCCCCCCTTAACCCCTGTCCTCCCCCCAGGGTTAACATTTGTTCTCTCTTCCTGTTAGTGATGCCACAGTAGAAAGTCTGTAAAGCACTGCTGCAACCTCACCTCTGGCGTTGTGTCTGTCCACAACAAGCATTCAACAGGCAACAAGACACTGCCGCACACACTGGAGTGAAGGTAACGCCACGCGAGGCTTCCAGAGCCAGGGTGAGCAAGCACAGCAAGCCAGTTAGGAAAGTGGAAAACAGAAGTGCAGCCTTGAGCTGAAGGAAGGGTGACCTGGGCTTTCAAATAGTCCTTCCTAGAGGCTGGGTGGTAACACAGCTGCGGAGGTGTGAACCTATTCCCTTAAATCCTATGCAGGATTGTAAAGCAACGTTACCTCAATAAAGGAAAAAAATAAATAAGAAGAAAAACCCCACAGATAACCCTTCCTATTATCCAAAGAAATGAGCCCTGCGAAGGAAAACATGAAGAGTGGCTTTCTTTGCTTCTCTTTCCACTTTCTTTTTTGAATAAATGTGGTAGGAAAGAGGAAAATTAAATACAAGACAGAAAGCCCAGCCTTTGGCCCTGTCCACGTGCAAAGATTTAGAGCCAAGGCCAAAACAAGCAGTTCTGTTTATTTATTTAATTATTTATTTATTTATTTATTTATTTATTTATATATTTATACAAGCACTGGGTACAGTCAGAAGTGTGGGAGGGTGAGAGAACTCACCAGAGCCAGAACGGGGAACAGAACAGGCAGAAGGACTGAAAACACTGCTGAGGGGAGCAGCGGGTGGCAGGAGAGGTCTGCGCGCCATGTGGGACCCTCGCCCGTGGCCGGGGATCAAACTAGCGCTGCAGAGGCTACTGGCAGCTTCACAGCCCAGCGTTCAACTGCTGTGCCACCAGGGGGAGACCCCAGTCCTGTTTATTAAGCCCAATCCAAACACTAAACTTTACAGAAGAGTAAAAAAATACTCTTAAAAACCTGGTAAGAAGCTTTTAAAATGGGCAAGGCACTGTCATGAATTGCTTTAGAGTAGATACACATCTAGGAAAGCTGCAAAGGACCGTCCAGAAAAGGACAGCTATGGCAATGAGAGAGGAGGGTTTGATAGAAGGGGGATGTAAGTGATGATTTATTCCCAACTGGGGGAATTGGGAAATGAGAAGTCAATCTTTTATTGTAAATCTTCAGTATCTCATACTTTCAAATAGTTAGTAAACAAATTTATGAGTCAAAACTACATTTTAAACTAGTAATTAAAACACAATAAGCATATCAATATATCCTCCAGTTAGACATGATTTGGTCCTATACTTCAAATTTAGTTGCCAGCAAATACAAAGATGTAACAGCAATGGTCCTTGCTTGGAATCCAGCTATTGATATGGTCCAATCAAGTCTGTTTCTTTCTTTAAAAAAGAAAAAAAAAACACAACACACCAAATGGTCTGGGAAATACTTTAGGAGATTTAGGGCAGAGAATGGGTGGGGCAAGGAGGAATTTCAGGCAAAAATATGGCAAGGCAGCTGGAAGGAAGAAGCTGAAAGAAGAATGAGGGACAGATCTAACCAGGAGGGAGCATTTATAGCTGAGACCATTTGTTCTCAATTTCCCAATCTCATAACACAAAAGTTGCCAGTTCTCAAATTGTGCTTGAAAACAGTCTCCCTTTAAAACAACAGTTTTCATGTAA